ATGTTGGTCTACACTAATGCTTCATATAAATATGACAACAAAGACAAATAAACTTAACGAGAACAAATTCAATTTTGATGTGCGGCAAATTATTGCAATTTGTGGTTACCTTATATAAATCTTTCAGCTTAACGATTACAGCAAGCTGCATTTTTTCTAATGTTACACAAAAGTCATAAAATATCTGAACACTTTAAAGGATGTTTGTGGCAAGTTTGTCATGGTTCAAAAGTTGAAAATGTGAAAAGTTTACAGACAGGTAATTAGGCATGAAAAAGAAAAAAGTCGATTAAAAAGTCGATTACATACATGAACGAATAGTGAGGGAAACTGAAAGACGAATTAGAAGGGAGAAAACAATTGATGTCTTTAATCTCTTAACTATCGTGAGGATGTACATTTAACATAAGACAATTTTGAGGTTTGTTAATGTCAAATGTTTGGTGTTTTTGAGATTATAATACCAGTTTGAACACATGAAAATATACATAATCAAGCACTATGAAATTTTTCTCCGCAGAAAATAAATAAATGCATTTCATTATGGGATTATTGTATAAGAAAAAAATTCATCATTTTGGTGAGTGTTAACTGTTAGAAAGATGGTTGAACAGGATCTTTATTAATTAGTTCATTTATTTGTATTTTTTTTAAAACAATAAACAATGAAAACATATATAATTATCCTTCAGTTCATGTACCATTGATCGATTGCACAAATATTTTTCAATTCTTTATTGCAAAAGACATACGTCTTATAGCATTTATACAATATAAACAAAAGAAATAAAGGAAATAATGGCTGGTCAGTTTGTAAACCCTTATGAAACATGCACATATATACATATAAACATTTTAGGTCTTTACAGTTCATATGGAGATGACATGTAATAAAGCAGATAAAGGTATATATATAATAATATAGGAGTAACAAATCAGCAAATGACACACCATTACATTATTAAATCATTTCTAAGCACGAGGGCTTTATATAAACTGAATTACATATTCTTTTACATTATTCACACTTAGCAACTGTATTAATTTGTACATAGATATACCAATAATATTTTTCAAAAACTTTGTACGCAATGTTGAATAAATTGAAACAAGTAAAAAATGGTATTGTCTTCAATTTCTGTTTATTTTAATTTATTCTCTTTTATTTTTTTATGCCTACCAGTTTCAAAAAAGATTATGAAACAACATATATACATTTTTTGTACACCTTTGGTTCATTTTTCTAAATAATATTGCAAGCAAAAATTGTCAATTAAATGTTTATAAATATAACATTTTGATTCTATTTGCATAAAAAAAAAAGAAGAACTCCAAAGTAAACCAAATTAATGCTCTTCAATGAAAAGTTTTCTATGTTAACGTTTGAAACAGTAAAACATAAAGTTTAATTATTGAATACAAGTGATATATTGTTACAGTGTACAGTATGAAAGAATATTTAAAGTAAAATGGAAAATATAACGTAATTTTGAATAAAAGTTCATTGAAACAATACAAACCTGAGCAGTTTAAACAGGGATCTCTTAACATCAGAATTGGGATCAAGTGGTATTGGGAAGCAAACACCCCCTGTAGACCGGTGAGTGTTAGATAAATGTAAAATAAATTCCCTGTTCTACTACAAAACATATTATTATTCTATTCTATATATATTTATTTTGCTTATAATTGTGATGAATTAATTTTAAAAACAATAGGTAGATGATGAATTCTTAATTAAGAAAACAATATTTGAAAAAAAATGTCATAGTTGTTAAAATAATTGCCATAGACGGCAAACGGTTTTCTGCCAGAAAATCATCAATGGGATTTTCTATGTAAAAAAGCTTATGCTATGAAACTTCATAAAATTCAGGAATCAACATTCCGCAATTATCCTAGATGCTTCTGCAATCGCTCTCTAAAGAAACCATTTGCTCCTGTACAGGATTAACCAATCGTGATTGTGTAAAATACTATAGCATTCAATAAAAACACTTTCACCTTAGATTTATATGCAAAGAAAGATAATCCATTTATTCACTTGATATTAAAGGTGAAAAAAAGGATTGATCCTATTAAAATAAACAATACGAAAATTTAAATAGATATTAAAACAAGGATTCCTAAAAATTGCACTTGTGGGATCAGGTGCCTAGTCAGAATTCTTTGTGGACATCTGGATAAAAAATTATGCTTAGAGTAAATTTTCTTGTCTAAATAATTTGTCAGTTAAGGGCAGATGATACAAACAAACTTTTGTCAAAAAATTGAAAATAACAACCTGGGTCATGTTTTGATAAATAAAATGAAAAAGTTTCACCGCGTTGTTTGTAATTTTTTATTCACAATTGCTCAAAATTGGAATTTGAAGTGAAAAAAGTTTGTATAGAATAATAAGGATGATTTCAGAAGGGTAGCATTTTGAATGTCACAAGGTTTACAATTTCTTTTTATTCTAGATATCTATTATTTGCATCAATTTAAATGAAATTATGTCAAAAAATATATACCAATCCAGGCATCCAATTTTTGCTTGTATCATCTGTCCTTAATAATAACAATCACCTTAAATTTATAGACAAAGAAAGGTAACCCAATCAATCACCTGATATTGGTAGAAAAAATGTCTTATTTAAGGTAACACTGATAGACTTTTTTTTTTCAAAATCTTGAAAAAAAATCTTAAAAAGTAATACGGTATTATTGATAGAATGTCATATTTGGTAACAACAGTTAGAAAAGTAACGTAGATTGCTGAAATTGGGGAAAGTTTTTTTTTTTTATCAAATGTAAAATTGCATATTTTGACATCTTAATATGCTGTTCCTTTTTATCTAACTCACTAGTCCACGTGGGTCTTCTCCTTTGCCGGTGGACCTTGTCGTCCTCGTTATTGTTGTCTTATAAACTTTTTTTCAACTCTCTTCTTGTTCTCAAAAAAAATGCAAAGCCAAATCTAACCAATCTGGTGCAGTTTGAGTAAAGGAAATTATTCAAGTTTATTCAAATGATTGGCCACACCTTCTATAAAGGGTGGATAATTTCTATAGAATCAAAATTTAGAGATTCAGTATAAAATCCCCGTGTGAAGAAGAACTGGGTCAAAAAGTTTAAACTTTTGTGAAAGATAATTTATAAAGCAAAGTTTCAAAGATGAGCCAATGGTACAATGAAAGATATGAAGATAAAGAACAGTATTCAATATCCAAGTAAGTTTTTCTGATCAAAATGCATCGCCCTGATCGTAAATATTTTACAGTTTTATCTTTTCAGAATCATTGTTTCAATTTTGATCAACCTTGATATATAGTGTCCTTGAATAGAGTTTGTTTAATTGAAAGACAACCTTTAAAAGACGTGTAATTTATATTTAAAGCTGAAAATAGTGTAGGCATACCCAGAAAATTCAATAACTACTGAATAATCAAAATATTATTCTAATGTAATATAATATTAAATTTATATAATATATAATGTTAAAATTGCCTTTGTTTATATTTTATTGCAGTTACGTGTATCTGTGTTTGTATACTGTACAGACCTGTACAACAAAATTGTAAGTTTCTTTGGCATCTTACTTTCCTGCATGGACAATCTACTGTGGATTTTGATAATTTTTCGTAAATTAATTTTTACTATTATAGCAGTGACAAAGTCCTGTATTTATTGTTTCAATAATTAAAAATGGCCACATTCCTTTTACGAATCATGTTTAGCTTTAAGGAACATAGTTTCTATAATATCAAAGGTTGGAATAGGTGCCACTGAAGAGTAAGTGTTAATAAATGTGCTTCTTGACATGACGGACAATAGGGAATCCGTGGACAATCTACGGTGTTAATAATTTCCTCACAATTAGTATGAAATACGATTTTTTTTTAGAATTTAAAATTTTATCAATCAAAGACAATTCTAATCTAAGTGATGTAGAAAGTTTTATCAAGGAATCGTAGCTTTTTGTGATTACAAAATTATGGTTCAAGTTTTAATCAAATTTAACTTAACGAGGCCGAGTCTAAATATTTCTACCCTATGGAATTTTGATAATTTTTCATTAAATAATTTTTACTATTATGCATGTATTTATTGTTTCAAGATTAAAAATCCAATGTTTTCCATCCTGATTTCTTAGGAGGCCATCTGAAAAGTTGTCCAGTTTTACTACTGGACCCTATGGGAATTCGATGAAAATGCCCCGAATTATCACATTTTTTATCAAAATTATGTCCTCTTTTCCAGAAAGATAATTGAAAAGGTCACATAATTGTGAAATTTAAAAAAGGTAAAAAAATAAAAAAAATAATAAAAGATTTTGTCAAAACAGTGGATAGGATGACCTTTGAAACCTGAAATTGGGACAATTTTAATTTTTTAATGTCAAATACCTCTAAACTCCTAATAATTGGCGTGTCACATTTTCAGATAAGTATGCGTTACAGATAATATTAATTTTGTATTCAAATCACAATCAGGCAGGATGGAATTGAAGTTAGAAAAAGTAAAGGGGTGTGAGGAGTTTGTAAAGCACTGGTGGCACAAAAGGAATGGATTCTAACGATTTTGTAGGGTAAAATGAGGTCTACCAAGAATACATAACAACATTTTGTAGACGAAACTGTGATTTACGTTAATTTTGACAATTTTAAGGGGGGCGGGCGCGCATCCCTTAAATGTGCCACTGACAATATTTCTCAAAGGTGTATTGTGGTACATATGACTGCATGAATTAAAAAAAGCTGCGCAAAGTCATGCGCGCTCGAATTAGAAGCGACCTCTTTATATGTATTAAGTCACTTAAGATATGAAAGACTGTCTGCCAAAAATAAAATAAAAACAAAAGAGCAAAAATTTGTGAACTTATCTAGGTGCCGGTACAATCTTTTTGACCCCTGCTAGATAATCAGAGAAATCGTGCTCAAACGCAACTATCTAAATTCTTATTCCATATTCTACAACCCGTTAAGACAAACTAGAAATTGATAAGCGGTGTCTTAAAAATAAGATTTTTTTCACAAAATCTTTCAAAATGAAGACAATTTTAATATTGTGTGCAATCATTAATGGATATCTTGCATTGAAGATAGATGCTGAAACTTCATGGATTGGACAGGTGATAGAGCAAAAGGTTAAGGAATTTGTCATGGTGGCACAAAAGGAATCTGAGGATAAAATTACCAAACTGGAGGAACATATTCGTAAACAGGACAGATACATCAAAGGCCTTAATGAAAAATTGGAAAAACTTGCAAAAAAGCTTTTGGTTGACGAAAGGGATGATGAAGCCAATGGGAATATGGGGACAAGTCCGAACAATACAAAGATTCTGAGTGAAGAAAATCCCAAGGAAAGGCCAGACGTAAGGCGTCTTATTAAACGCCAACCAGGTAAATAAATAGATGTTCTTCTTTCGTTATTTCTATATACACATATCATTGCTCAAGGGCTCTGCTTGCCGAGCATTAGTTTAAAAGCTTCTACCGCCAAGTTATGGCATTTTAATTTGAGTGTAGATATCTCGGGAGGGACATGAAATGAAATGAAAAGCAAATTACATTTTCTTGTAGTGCTTGCGACTGAGATTGCATTTACCGCCCTGTTAAGCAGTTGCATACAACATCCAAGTGTTGGCCACACCTTCATCTTTGACATAGTAAAAACAAACATTGGTCATGTTGGTTCAGGTTATAACAAATATAGTGGACACTTCATGGCACCAGAGGAAGGCATCTATGTGTTCTCATGGACAGTGGTGGCAGATTTTCATAGTTTTGTACGCTCCCAAATAGTCATTAATGGTTGTGAGTTTTCCTATATTATGACGGATTCAGATGAAATCCATGATATCCACAGCGCTTCAGGCCTCATTACTGTTTACCTTAATCACGGAGATGACGTCTACATCCGCACGCATTCAACTATTCCTGGACATGGCAACGTTTGTAGCGGAGGGATATACGGATTTACTTCTTTTTCAGGATGGAAAATTTAATAAAAGTTGTCTATATCTTTATTCATTACCGAAGTGCAATTCAATATGGCAGATACCTTTTACAAGATTTTTATTTTCAATCCGAAAAAATAGTTGTAGTATGTTTTGATTTTTTAAACATGACAATGAAGTGCAATAAAATATGACAAATATCTGTTACGCGATTATATAAGTTGGACTCTCATTGAGGTTGAATGCTTAAATTTATATACATGCTCTTAACATATTTGATAGATAAATTCAGTATATCTGCTTATGAGAACAACACATCAGGATATAACAAATGAAATGTGGAGATAACAAGGGTTATTCGAGCATAAAGGGTTACTCAAAGAAAATCGAATACCATTTCCTTTAATATTCCAAATTATCCTAATTTTTACGTGACAAACCTGTGTATAAAGTCGGTACCCTACTGCTATGTACTCTAAAAGATTTTTTTGTTTATGTCCATCACCGTCCAAAATCTTGTGCGTGAAAAGAAGAAAAAACTTGCTGTGCCATTCAACTCGACATCCAGATATATCGACGACGTTTTGTCAATTAACAATCCATTCTTATGACGATATATCGCTGTGAGCGTGAAATCGAAAATGCTACAGTCTGTCACACCTGTTATACCGGTATATTCTAATGAAATATATGAATTACGAACATTATTCAAGCTCAAAAGTCCAGTAAACATTACAAAATAGGGACAGAGCAAACATCTCCAAAACATCAGAGGAATCAGGTGCCATTGAGAACTGAGAATCCTCTAGTCCCGACTAGTAATACCCGCTGTATACCTCTAGTCATGATCAGGAAATAACGGGAAATTCCGCCAACAAATCAGTGTATACAATGGCCAAACAATTAGTATGAAAACTTCAGTCAGCATTTGGATATTTTACTTGAAAGAAACATTAATTGTAATTTAATAACCAATATGAATTAATTTGAATTTAATTTGTAATTTGAAAACCAATCAACTTGCCTTACTTATGCAGCAGTCATCACCTGCATATGATATTTTTCTCCCTCGGTTGATTAGATACATAAAAGCATGCTCTATGGATGAACGATTTATAAAAAGAGTTGAATTATTGACAAACAAGTTGATGAAACAAGGGAATATTAGCAGACTCGTGTAAGTCATCATGTCGTAAGTTCTGTGGTCGATACGATTATATTTGCCATCAAATACAATTTATCATTTAATCAAATGCCTACTGACATTTGTCAAACTAATTGTAAGGTCATGTTTTACATACAGAATTGCCAACGGAGTTTTTCGTGTTTTCCAGATCATGACAAGAAGCGCACAGAGGCAGTGACCGGTCAACAGGGGATGCTCACTCCTCCATGGCACCCGATCACTACTTGCTGTGCTTCAAATTTGTATTTTTAAAGGGTTTTTGAGATTGAATACTGTTGTGATCTCCATATATTTCATCCAATTGAAAAAAAAAATACTCTAGTATTCCAGTATTCAAAACCTTATTGATGGTACTATTTAAAACGAATAAAACCGTTCTGAAAGACAGTACTAAACATATAAAATCAAACTGTTGAAAGTTTATTGAAAAATGAAACCTATAAAAGTTCTGTATTACATGTCAGCATTAAACGAATCAAAAGAACAAGTCCTTTGTAAGGTTCACAGAAATCAGCAATACAATACATAGATATTATATTCTACCGGCGAGGCAAAACAGATCCCATGCAGAGTTCAGTGGAAATGTACATGCTTACCGAACAGATTTGCACATTTAAACCTGAAAATTTTAAATTCTACAAAGTTAACTTTATACAGTTTTTGGCAAAATTATTTTACAGCCAAATCCTCATCCCATTATCAGAAGAGAGAGCGTCAAGTATGCTACAAAAAGTATTTCACCTGTGATTTTTGAGAATTTTTGATAGTTGGGGATAATTTAAAATTTGGATTTAAACTTTTAATATAATATATATTTACCGTCTCTGTATCTGCAATTTTACGCCCAAAAGATTGGTTGTTTATTGTTTAATGCCGAGTAGGCAATATTTCAGCCATGTTTGAAGTCCAAAAGAAGATTAATCCTCGTATAATATTCAATTTTTCTAACCACAACTTTTCAGTGCACTCTTGGTTATTAATTAATCAAGAACGCATTTCTTTTCTATTTTGTTATTATATCTATTACATGTAAAAAATGTAAATTTTGAAACATCAGCCTCGATATATATAAATCCAAAGTTAAATGAGTCATACTTAGTATATAAGAATCATAACAGCACGTAAGGATAAGGGTTGCTTGAAAAGTTATTTGTAATAGTATAGTTCAATGCTAGAATTCCGGTCAAGGTTTCCGGACTTTCATTTCCACACTCATGATATCCATGAATCCATCCCAGTTCAGTCCATATAAATAATTGGACTGTCCAAACTGTCCGTTCAGGTTTGACCTTTGACACGCGTTGTGCCACCAGCCCCCTCGACTTAGTGTAGCACAGTTCCTCAGGTTCTGCATGTCATTGTCGCGATCTCTGGTCGTGAATTTCATTCCGTCGGCGCATTCTGTACAAGACCCTGTTGATGTTAATGGGTCTCCTGAAAGAGATGATGGTTAAAGACGACATCTGATCTTTATGAGAGGAAAAAGCATACTTGAATGGTTACTCGTGCTGGTATTGTGAATGAAAACATAATAAACCATAATGAATTTAGTACATCCATACAAGAAAAATATAGGATAATTAATGCCTTGAGACTTTAGCTGATTTTTATTGAGTGTCAAATAAATACTGTATTCTCCACCCGTTTTAAATTCGCCCAGTTACAGTTCTGTTCAAGAAATTACATTGTGTGCTTTGGGTTCGTTTCTTTTTAAATTTGCCAACCTGAAATGAGCGAAAATAAAATGGGGCAAAAATTTCCGTGTGAACAGTACTCATTTCTGGACTTGCAGCTGCACCCATTCCCATGTTGTACTTCCTAGGTGACTTGAAATGAGATATGAACTGCGAACAATAGTATTTTTCTCCCGCCTACCTCCAAGTCAATTTTCAAAGTTAAATATTCGTTTAATTTTTCATATTTCTATAGATATTTGTATGGATTTTTATAAAGCATTACTTATTTTGGAAAATAAAGAGAGATAAATCTATAATATTGTTAAAACTTCAACGGAAAACGGAAAATATTTTAACCCCCCCCCCCCCCCCGTGAAACAAAAATTCATTTTTACGTTAAATGGACTGTTATGTTACTAACGTTTTTTGTGTTTCATGGGGGGAACATATGTTTAATGACAAAAAAAAAAAACGACAAAAATGCTTAGGTGATGTACAACTAAAACACAGTATTTTATTATTTTATATATGTTTCATTTATTTGCGTAAATCCTATGAAAAAATATAAGAAACATTTAATCATATCTAAGTATATTTCAAAATATGGTGATGCTTGAAAATCAAATTTCATTGGAGAAAGACCCCCCCCCCCCACCTTATTTCAAGAGCTGGAATTAGAAATACCAGATAGTTCACTATTTAGCAATGGTGTTAAAATAATCTGTATGTATGTTTATTTTCGCTTAATTACGCGAGACAATGTGCCCGCGAAAATATGATTCTCGTGTTTATTAGTAGTCCTATAAATTATATAAAGCAATCACCACGATTCGTGAAAATTTTGTCTCGCTCATAAAGAGGCAATCACAATATCGCGAAAATAAGGTGTCGCGAAAATTTATTGATGTACAGTACGTTACACTGTTCGTGTACATGTAATATGTTCTTTAGAATAACTAATTACCAAATAAAGTATACATGTAATTTTAAAAATGATTGAAATCTGTTATGTATTCTCAAAAAAGGTCAGAAAAGAAGATAATACCTGCATGTTGCGAAGACAAAAGCTTTTTCCTGGTACTGCAGACAAAAATAATGGGATAAGACCCAAACATTCTGATGGAAGTATTAATATTTAATAATCACTTTATAGACAGACTAACCTCTGTTTCCTACATAGTTTGAGGTATGGAGACGATAGTCCTGACTGGCGTCATCCACAGAGAATGTATACTCGGCAATACCCACGTGACCTGAACTTGCAACCATTTCAATGCGTAGATGAATGTGTTCGTAAAGAGATGTCAGCTCGTGTATGTATTGGTTGCCTATGATTAAGTGGTATATATATATATATATATATATATATATATATATATATATATATATATATATATATATATATATATATATATATATATATATGAGTATACAAGACATGGTTTAAAGGTTGATAAAACATGCGATAATAATAATTATACTACGAATTTATGAATTTAAGAAAATATATCAGCTTTAAGTCGGTCACTTTTATTTTCGAAAATTTTATTTTGATATTTAGTCATAAGAGACAGACCAATCCAAAATTCCGATGTCAAAGTCCCGAAACCATTTTCGTAGTCAATCCAGTCTTTATCAAAGCTTTGTCCTCCGTTTAAGAATCTTCTTTGTATAACCTAGAAAGACCCAGGCAATAAATCTATTTATCAATTTCTTTTTTTGGCGAAGATTGAAAATCATCTTAATGAATCGTGAATTTGTGACACAAGAGATACATTTTCAACTCGGCGTGTTCCTGTTCAAGACAATGATCGCTGATACTTATGTACATTTGATTGTAATTGTTGTCTCACTTACCCTCCATTTGTTCAAGACAATGATCGTTGATACTTATGTACATTTAATTGTAATTGTTGTCTCACTTACCGTCCATTTGTGATTTTGTACCGCGTCCAGAATACAAAGAACAAATTTATTATTGCTCAAAATGAACTTTCTTTCACCAGACACCGAAGTCCCCGCCACAGTTAATGCGCAATCACACTCAAAACAAGCAGCTGTTGTCGTCTGTGATGTTGTGGTAACCTCTGCGGTGTTGTCAGTTACGTTAATTTCTGAACCTGCTGTGGTTGCTGAGTCAAGTAATTCTGATGTTGTGGTTGTTGCTGAATCTTTTGCTGATGTTGAGTCAGTTAATTCTATTGTTGTTGTTGATGAATCTTTAAAGGTTGTTGAGTCGGATAATTCTGATGTTGAGATTGATGTTATATTATTTGTCTGTGTTGTTGAGTCGGATTCTGATGTCGTTACTGCATCCCCTGTAGTAGAACCTGAAAATGTTGTATTTATTGATCAATTCGATAATTTTTTTTAGATTGCCTTGTCAATTGATAGAAAAAATTGAATCAAAAAATTTAATTATTATAATAATAAGGTATGACCTCTCAATATTTTCTAGAATTACATGTACTCCTCACAAAAAAGTTATTAGTACGATCACATTTGATAGCATGAAATTTATGGCGATAACTAACAGTATTCAAGATCACAAGCCCATAAAACAATACAAAATAGGATCAGAGAAAACGTGGACCTAAACATCAGTGGTGCGATCAGGTGCCATGGAGGAGTGAGAATCCCCTGTCGTACACCAGCAGTGTACTCCTTGTAATGATTGGGATGTAACGATAAAATAAGTCGACAATTCAGTGTGTAAAATAATGGCTTAACATTTAGTTTGCAAAACGTCAGTCAGCATTTGTTTCAATGATAAATTGTATTTGCTGACAAGGTCATTATATTGACCGTAGAATTTACGAAATGATGACTTTAAACGAGACTGCTGATATTCTTGTTTCATCGACTCGTTTGACGAGTTGTCAATAATTTACCTGGTTTTAAAAATTGTATTCTCTTGCGTATCGAATCAATTGAATCAATTATAAACCCCATATGCAGGTGATGAAGGTTTATTGCTGCATATGTAAGGGAAGTTGACGATTGAAAAATTAAAGTCATCACTTTTATCATAGAGCTTGTTTGTTACATTACCATTAACGTCTTTTTCAAGTAAAATATCCAAATATGAAACAGAAGTGTCAGACTCTGTGGTATCTTTTTATCTCAAGCTTACCAGGATATATCGTATCGTCATAGGAAAAGAAAAAAAACATTAAGTGACAATACGTCCTCAATGTTTTTAATTGTCGAGTTGAAAGCCACGGCAAGTGTTTTCTTCTTTTCAAGTGAAACGTACGAACAAATTGTTCTTCATATGAATACAAATACTAGTATAGGTCTGCTAAAAACAATCCATGGGAATTCCAATAGATTGTTGGAAGACTTGGTCTCCAAAAACCACATAGATATTGTCAATCAGAAACTCAAGCATCTTTTTAATGTCAACCTCAGAGTACATGTGTTTACAATCAGAAAGTTTTATATTCAAAATAATTTTGTAAATGACAAGGTAATTAAATTTACGACTTCCTTTTTTAATGCAAAAGCAGCAGTCAATGATATCGAAAAGAATGGACGTTAATTTTACGTGGGGAATGGTTGTGTAAGAATGGACGTTAATTTTATATAAAGATATACAAAAATGATCAAGTTTTAAAACTAAAATTAAATTTATTTTGCCAAATGATAGTTGACAGCTTTAAAAGATATCATAAATATGGGCTGGGTGGTTGTGGCCATTTTCATACTATTTTGATCTCCATATAAAGATATACAAAAATGATCAAGTTTAAAACTAAAATTAAATTTATTTTGCCAAATGATAGTTGACAGCTTTAAAAGATATCATAAATATGGGCTGGGTGGTTGTGGCCATTTTCATACTATTTTGATCTCCATATAAAGATATACAAAAACGTTATATTAAATTTATTTTGCTGGTGGTTAATTTGAATTAAGTTATATCTGGTCGTTAATTTGTTGACCGCCAACCTCCCTACAATTCATCTAGGGCTCACAAAGGGTATTATTCTAATTAATTGAAAGACAAGGAATGTTTTTACCTCTTTGGCGCCTAATCCTACCTGAAATTTTCAGGTTTTTTGCACTTTGTATTTCTTGTAGTTACCATCAGCAACTTATTGTCATCATCACTACATCGTATTTATATTTGGTCATTTTTGAATGTATATATAATCAAGAATCGAATAAAAATCTTGTTTTTCGGTTATTCTAATGTCAAATTATTTTTCGTCTCTCGCACTGAAGTAAGTGAGGGAATATGTCCTTTGACAGATTTATCTAATATTACCTTTTTTTCTGTTGCAATTATTGTAATAAACCAACCATGTATTGAAAAAGAGATTAAATTGAAATGTTAATATTAATACCATGAGTATTCACAAAAGACAACTGAAAATCGGTTTTCTTAATGTATTATTTTCGAAATATACCAGCAAGACAAAATTCAAGTTATATAGAACGAGATAATCCCTGTTATTTTTTTCTTTCAAGCGAATGGAAATAAAATTTTCCAAGAAAACAGCAAGACGTCAAAATCCCATTGAATCGGATTGTAAAGAAATATTCGATCTATAGACTGATAATATTAAAACTTAAGCTATAGAAAGATTCCCTGTCAGTCCGTCTGTATTATCACATCTTCGCTAGCCCCATAAATGGGGAGCGGAGTGGACCGAAAACCCTTGGCTAGCGAAGATGGTATTATCAATATTGTGCAGATTTAAAGAATTTCATCATAAACGAAAGAATCTCATAATAATTATATTTTATGCATATAAAAATCTTTCTGAAAAATCTTAATAAAAACATGAACTATGAACTACAGATTTTGAAACCACTTCTTGATTTCATCTTCGATAAGCTAAACACCAATTTTTATGCTATATGACCTTTACTGTGATTCAGGTCTCTCACTGAAATAAAGTTAATTATGTTGATAATGTTGACCTAGGCCCTGCCCCAAACTTCAATGGGCGTAAAACTCTGCTGTGTCTATGAATTAATCCTTACTCTCCTCTTCAAATAAAGGTAATAGAACTATATTATCTACTTACTACACACTACTTTATAATTAATATACAGATCTGTGTCTGTCTAACATACATAAGGTGAAAAGGGAATGGATATGTATACCTATACCTGCTTCATACTTGTATATAATAGTAATGTGTGTACTTCGAAAACTTGTTTAAAATCATTTAGGTCAGTGTCTATCTTATCATCACTTGTCTTTTGAGCTAGAGATTTGTAACAACATTGTCTTCGTTTGTAAGGCTCATTATATAAATTGTATTTTAAATAGAAGATCTTGGATTTAATTCTACAAGTGGTAATCCAACTTATACTCAAAAGTCCCTTTTAAGGAACAAATTCTTCAAAATCATATGTAGTTTTGAATATTTTTAATATCCCAAAGAAACAAAATTAATTTGAACTACCATATTAATATATTGGATTCCAAAACTTCATAAAAATTCTTACAAAGATACATAGCAGGTTCAAGTAAATGTTCAACCAAGCTTCTTTCTTTACTCCTCACTAAGATATATAAACTGTAATGAAGGAGAAACTTCAAGAGCACTGTACAACAATATATTCAAGAAGTGGTGTAAATCAGATATGGATGCTTAAAAAATCCAAGGAACTTTAAGACAATTTAATATCATAAGATTTTACCAAATTCAACAGCTTAAAAACTTACGACTTACACAACCATTCCCCACGATAAATTAAAGTCAAACTTTTCTACCATCAACTTCCCTTCCTTATGCAGCGATATATCTTCATCACCTGCATATGAGGTTTATATTTCTCAGTTGATTCGATATGCAAAAGCATGATCTACGTATGAACAATTTCTAAAACGAGGTAAATTACTAGCAACAAGTTGATGAATCAAGAATATCAGCAGTCTCGTTTAAAGTCGTCATTTCGTAAATTCTATGGTCAATATAATGACCTTGTCCGCAAATACAATTTATCATTGAGTCAAATGATGACTGACTTTTTCATACTAATTGTTAAGCCATTATTTTACACTCTGAATTGAGGACGGATTTTCCCGTTATTTCCTGATCATGACAAGGCGCACACGGAGGGAGTAACCCGTCGGCAAGGGATTCTCACTCCTCCATGGCACCTGATCCCACCTCTGATAATTTGGAGGTCCGTGTTTGCTTTGCTCCTATTTTGTATTATTTTATGGGCCTGTGATCTTGAATACTGTTCGTTATCGCCATATGTTTCATACCTACCTACTACACACTTGCACCTATCGGTATACTGTAGTTTTAGATCATACTTTACATGTCAATACTAGTTTAGATCTATACACACATTCTTGTCTATTGGAATAATTTTATATCATACTTTACCTCTTTTAAAATACTGATATAGATCTGTGCGTACCTACTTCGCCACAATTGTTTTGCAACGTATCCCAGTATCTTTCTCTGCAGGAATTGTTCTGAAAGTATACAAAATTGACGTGGATAGTGTATGATTCCCTTTTGTTTGTTTTAACTTTTTACGTTCTGTTTTGCTTTTTTGTGGTTTTGTTTTGCTCTATTGTTTAATTTTTAAATAAAATTACTGCACAAACTTTTTAATCAAGAAAACTACAACACAATTTAAAGTAAAGTAAGTCAAGAATGTTACTTATTATCTATAAAGAAATTGTAGAAAAGAGAAATATTCTTTAGCACATATACTAGTTATATCGAAAACCTACTCGTTGGAAATGAAATGTGGAGATACTAGTAACAAATAGCGATGACAATCGAAATTTCAGTAAACAGTACAAATCGTGAGGATCGAGACCAAACCAGCCTTCCAAGTTTTAAGTACATGTAGTATCAGGTGCCATGAGGGTGGGAGCCTCCCCCTGTCGACCAGTCGCCTCTGACATGTGCGCCTTGTCATCATTTAAAGACAAACGAAAAACAAAACACGTAGTCTATTCAGTAAGCGAATAATGGCCCCATAATTTGTGTAAAAAATGTCAGTCAACATTCAACCCAAAAGTAGATTTTTTCTGTAAATAATGTCATTTTAGGGTGAAATTCGCGGAATATGATTTTGTTGATTTTAAAGAAACTTGTGTCGACTTGGAAACGTTCGCTCTTGCAAATCATCCGGAATGCTTCAAATTATGATTATGGTATAGTGCGACAAAATAAGGCATATTAATTGAAAAAAATTAAATTGCATGATCACAAATATCGTAATGTTTCATTGTTTGTTTGTCTTTTTTCCAAAAATATAAAACACATACCAGTATATCGGTTATTCGTAGTGTTTTTTTAAATTTATTTCGAGTTCAATTGAAAATATCATAACAAAATAAACGAAAAAACTTTTTTTATTATTATTGAAGAATAAAACGTCGTTAATTGAAGTCAAGATCAACAATTAGTGATGAATCAGTTATTTTTGTAAGTAAACATTTCTTACCATGAGATATCTCCGACAGGTGCTCTCTGGGGAAGCCAAATACGTCCCTGGGTACTCTGTGGTTATTCTACATATCTGTTTACTGGTGCACATTTCTATAGCAATGCAGTCTAAATCCTCCAAACACTGGGCCGCACAATCTTGTTTTGATCTTGTATATGTTTGGAATTTTACGTGAGCGGAATTATTGTAAGGTATTTTGCCGAAAAAGGTAAAATGGGTAAACCTTGTGTCCCCAAATACGACAGGAAATGAAGTAATAAAAACAAAAATAATTAAAAATAGTTTCTTCATTCTCAGAAAACAAGAATCGAAATCATTCAATTTCAAACAGAGATACAAATGTTACATTTACAAAATAGAAATCCAATATCTACAGAAGACACCCTCCAAAGTAATATTAACCAATGATTTAAATGCACGTAAATGCATTACATTTCTCTTTCTAGCTTTAATTGCACATTGATCAAAAGAAATTTATTCTAAATCAATGTATCGCTTGTGAGAAACTACTATAGAGCCTTGTCGTTACTCTTTGGCCATTGGATGAGTTTTTATTAGTTGACGCATTCCTGATTTTAAAACTGATCCAATTTTGCTATAGTATTCCTCTAGCAAATGCTTTTTTGTAATTTTACCTTTCGATTTTTTTTAGGCGGAATCAAGCTCACACGAAAAAGAAACTCAGATTTGAAACATTTACGCCCACACTTACCCTCAAACACAGCATCATGTACACATCCATAGCTATATATGTTGATGGTTCTTGTGCTTTTTTTTTTTTTTGAAATCGCATTTTGCACTACATTTTGAAATACCTTTATGAGACATGATTCCTTTCATCTGTTTTAGACGAACGTTTGACTTTATATACTTGTAAATCAAAAAGAATTCTTTTTATCGGTTTTGATTACGGCGTTGCCACCTCTCAAGAAGTAGAAATTTCTCTATGTTCTCTAAAATGAATTATATGCGTATAACAAACAGTATTCAAACTCAAAAGTCCATTAAACAATACAAAATAGGAGCAGAGGAAACACGGACCTCCAAAACATCAGAGGTGGGATCAGGTGCCATGGAGGAGTGACAATCCCCTGCCAACCGGTCACACCCGCTGTGTGCTCCTTGTCACGATCGGGAAATAACGGAAAAAATCCGTTGTCAATTCAGTGTATAAATAATGGTATAATAATTAGTAAGAAATGTCAATCAGCATTTTACTTCATGATGAATTGTATTTGCTAACAAGGTCATTGTACAATAGAACTTACAAAATGGTGACTTTAAACGAGACTTGTTTCAGCAACCTGTTTGTCAATAACTGACCACGTTTTAGAAATTGTTACGTAGAGCATGCTCTTGCGTTTCAAATCAACTGAGAAATATAAACTCCGTATTCAGGTGATGAAGGTATATTGCTGCTTAAGTAAGGGAAGTTGACAATTGAATATATCAGACTCTGTGGTAACTTTTATTTCAAACTCACCGGGATATATCGAATCGACATAAGAATGAAAATATTAATTAACCATTGTTAATTGACAATGCGTCGTTGATATATTTAAATGGCGAGTTGAAGGCCACAGCAAGTGTTTTCTTCTTTTCATGTATACAATTTTGGACAAATGCAATCCATTCTGACAAAGTGTCAACGTCTTCTTTTTCATCTCTGGCCCTTTACTTGGCGTAATCTTCTAAAGAATCCATAATTCCTTTGTTGACATATTGAAGTTTAAAGGAAAAAACGGATTGCTTTAGCTGCATTTTCTTCAGTAAATCGCAGGGGTGTTAAAAGCGTATAATTTGCAATATCCATACCGGTAACCACAGATTCTAACCTATATTCTGGTGTCGAGGAATTTCTTACATTTTTCAAGAAGATTATTTAAAAGTTTCAAAAAAAAGGAGTAATGTTTGGTGCGAATATGATGAAAACCTAACTGCTGCTTTACATAAAATTGTATTTTTAAGAAAATAATGCATCATAGGTTTATTTTAAGACCGATTCCCATGACTATACGCTCACGTCTCTGAGTATGGTTAACAGATTGTGCCTCTTCCAAAATTGTAAACTTCATGGCCCCAGGGCGGGGATCTAAGGACTGTGTAGTGAAAATGCATGAATTGATTATTGAAAATACATTTGTTTTTTGTTGCTCTACTCTGACTCTGGGTATTTAGTAATGAACACAAACCAAATTCATCTGTGGAAAAGTTGTTCCATAATACTCAGTTGATCTATAAGGCCCGTGGGCCTCTTGTTTTCTTTGGATTTCTTTTATGAAAATTCTTAAAAATGCTAAAAACAATATATTTTTTGGCCGATCTGATGCTTTGCGTCAATTAAAATTATAACGGTATGAATTACATGTAATACACAATATATATATATATATATCATCATGATCATGAAACATTTAAATTAAAAAAAAAACTTTTTTTAAAATAAATGTACTTTTCAAACTGATATATTTATTTACTTATGCTTTTTCTTCTCTTTTGCTTAATCATGATGCATTAATGAATCATAATTAAAAATTTAATATGTTCTTACATTAGACTTTTCGAGTTATAGGACTTAGCACATAAATTTGAACTCGTAAGAGTGTCAACATTAAAATATCACTCTATTGATTATTATTGCATGTCAGAAGCTTCAATATTTAATCTCTTCCAGTTGTGTTTCTTCCATTTTTAAGTCATTTGAGTCACACAAGTGACCTTTTGCTAACTATTTCTGTCCGTCGTCGTGCCTCGTGCGTTAACATTCGAACAAAAATGAAAGTAAGCTTTTTTCTAAAACCCCAGAACCAATTTCAATCAATTTTGGCATATTGCATCTATACGGGTGAACACAAATTGTGAATTTCATGCTCCCTGCCCCGAAGGCGGGGCGATGACCACTTCAAGTAATGCAATCTTTAAAAATCTTCTTTACTCCTGGACATAAGCAGTTCAAGTGTTAGCACAAATGTAATAAGCGTTGAGAAAAGTTGCGCCCTCCACTTACTGTGAATTTCCCGGCCCCTGCAAGGGTCAGGTGTTAGGTATTAGGTTGGGGCTCTATTGATAATAATGTGAAAAAAATACATTTCTTTTAAAATCTAGCTTCTCTGTCCCTGTTTATTAAGCCGTTGAACTATGTATACGGTTACGATCAGAAAGGGGGCCTCTTCCAAAATTAAGAATTTCATGGCCCCAGGATCAGGGGTTTTAGTGTTAGGATTGGGCTCCAATGATTATATAGTGAAAATGCATGAATTATTTGGAAATCTTCTTTGCTCCGTCCCGCGTGGCGCAGTGGTTAGACCGTCTACTCTAGAGTCGCGAATAAAGGAGTTGATCCTTACGTCGCAGCTTCGAATCCCACAGTGGTACACAGAGACTGATCCTTCGGATGATACACCGTCCCATGTCGCAGTAGATGCTGGCACGAAAAAAATCCTTAACTGCTCAATGGCCAAAGTGCCGAGTATATTTAAAAAAATTTCAACTTTCCACCGGCAAGTCTCCATATCAGTGAGAAAATCTCGAGAGGGACGTTAAACAAAAATACAATCAATCAATCATGCATGCAATCTTCTTTGCTCCTGGGTATTATGCCTATGCTCTGTCTACATGTACATATATAGTTATGATGAGCAATGGAGCTTCTTCAAGAATTTTGAATTTCAAGACCCCTGAGTCAGGCCAGTGCTTCTGATGTTTCTGGTGTTAGACGGGGCTCTAATGATTATATACCGATAATTCAGTATTTTAAATGTTTTTGAAAGTCTTCTCTGGCCCTGGGTATAAGACCAATGAACCATGTACATATAGTTCGATGTAGATATGATGAGGAAGAATGCATTTTCCAAAATGAGTAATTTTATGACCCCTTACCAGGTAGGAAGGTCTAATGATCAAAAACTGAAAATGAATTGATGCTTTGAAGTCTGAACTTTGGCATCAATCAAACAACATTATTATGCATGGTGAGCAAAGATCATGCCTTTTCACGCACAAATTGCGAAATATGGGTTGCATTTCATTTCTTTTTTTCTTTTTTTGTAATTTATCAACTTTTCATTTCCGACATTTAAAAAAAAATGTCCAATGAGCCCCGGCGTTGAATATTGGGTGGAAAGGGGGGGGGGGGGGTTCCTGTCCACATTTGTACCGATATGTGTCTTGTACTGGACTGTTTAACTGTCTTAAATTTGTCCGCATTTTTTAACTTAAACAAATCAATATGCAAACATGTGCATTTTTTGAAGAAAATATACAAGAACAAATTAACAAAGCGACTTTACATATGGTGAGCTAGTAGCTACGACACCCACCCACCCTAACATTTGACCCACCCCACCCATCCCCCTTTTTTGCTTTGTTTTTTTTATTTTATTTTATTTTTTTTTTTTTTATAATTTATAAAGAATACACTTTCTTATCACGTATACAAAAAAACTTTTAAAAAGGAGAGAGAGAGAAAAAAAAGGAGGAAAAAAGTTGATAATTAAAATCTGATAAAAAATATATAAACAGTCTGTTGAAATCCAATGTAAGTTATGCCATGATTAACCCCAGAGCATGTGCGTTCAAAAACAAAAAGTATTTTAAAAAAAAACTAAGATTAAAAAATAGATAATAAAATAACACATAGGGTTATTGAAAGAACAAAAAACATACATGAGAAAAAAAAGTGTCCGTGGTGAACTTTCAATCCCAGCAAGTCACGTGACAGGAAGTTGATATTATGTTGAGAATCAAGATGGCGACTTATTGTCGAAAGAAATGAGAATGTAAGATAAATTCAACAGAATGAAGGTATTCGTGGATTTTTTCTAATAATTTGTTACATTGTAATTTTAACTTTTCCTAAAATGTCACATGATGATTTTCTTGATTACGTTATGTAAAAAATTCAGTGATTAAATCTGACTTATCAAATCGCAAGATGATAACATCAATTTACAACAAAACCCAAACTAGTCGTGATCTTAAAAGAAATATTACGGGAAGTCAATTTCATGCTATAGAAAGAATGTGTTAGAATGATTTATTGTGTTATATTTTCTATTATATGAAAATTTAAAACCTATCATGCTTATTGGTATCAAACCGGTACCATCGTGTTCTTGTTTTATCATGTTCATTGAGACACTATCCAGTTAGCAAGTTTAGGAGTGGAACATCTCTTTCCCTGCTGGAGGTCTAGAGTAATTTTTAAAAAGAGGGACTTTCTTGTACAAAACACTATGAGATGTATTTTTTTTATTTTTAAGTACAGTATCACTGGCATACTGTGATACATGTCAATTGATAGATCTAATGATTCCATTTCAGACAGGAATGAATGAGTACAGAGACTACTGGTGAGGAGTTGAACCATGCTGGAGTTTATTAATTGTCATACAGTAGTATGCTGGTTATTTGTTATTTGGAATCTTACAAATCAACATGTTATAGGTAAGTCCTATATCAGAAAATATTTAATATACTGTGATCATGGTGATATAAGCTTTGATTTATATTAGGAGTGAAACGGTTCACCATGGTATTGTTTCACTGCGATATTTTTTCTCGGTTCTCGGTTGAAGAAGGCATATCGTTTCACCCCTAATTTATATTACCTCTAATGGCTTTATTGTCTTATGAATTCCTGTATAAACCTGTATACTGCTCAGTGAGAAATCTAAGGTCAATGAATTTTATGGGAATGTGCGAGGGAGTTACTTTTATTGCCCATTACACAATGTTAATTCATAAAATGATGTAATGTTACATAAAGCAGTCCAATATTGTATATACTACCTGTATATTGTCTGTTTATTGGCTTAATTATGAATGCTGGAGATCCTTTATATAAAATTTATTTAATCAGTGTTGTATCTGTTTTGTCAACTTATTAATGGGAGTGTGTGCAAAGTTATATTTTTCACATATGCATACTGAATGAGTTTAGTGCTACCGTTGTTATTGAGAAAAAGGTAATCATTATTTAACACTCATTGATACTGTTTGTTCGTGAAATATACAGTGTTTGTGAGAGTAAAATAGCCCCACCCCCCAAATAAATGTTTGGCATATATTAGTTTATTCAACACATATATGATAAGTGATTGTTACAAACAAATTATATACAATAATATCATAAATATCTTTAGATTATAATATCTTTTTTGATATCAGATGAATAAGAAAATGTGGGACCCGAATGTTTCTCATTCATAATTAATGCTTATTGCTGTGCATCATTATACATGTTATAGGAACATTGAGATTTCCCATGAATTATAGATAAAGAAGAAATTATTCTTCATAGGAAATCTTGAGTTTCTTCATGTTCTTTGTAGCTAATATAATATATATGGGAAAACCTGTTACAGTGCTTTCATAGAGTTTGTAAATTGTCAAACAGTGGTTGAATGATGCTAACTCGAGTAAAGTTTTTCTTTTTTCTTTAACTTACAACCTCAGGTCATATGTGTTAAAAGATTTAATTTTTGACACACTAATAAATTAATAGAATAGAAAAGTACCCCCCTTATAAAATGACAATGGGAATTAGTTTCATGACACTTGGACCATCTGTTAGTACAGTGTATAACACTAAAATTTTGTGGAGATCTATAATTCTTGTTTCAGATTGTTGGATTTTGTGCAGTCTTTTCATTTATTGCAAATTTGTGTGGATAAAGATCACCTTGTAAAAGGAAAAGTTTATAGACAACTTTTTTTGGTCAGAAAACTTGTGTTTTAAGCCCTAAACCATGTTGACTATAATGTACTTATGTACTTCACTGTCCTGAGAATTTACTCCTTAATTGTGAAAATGAAGAATTCAAACAGCCTGATTCGGTGACCGAGTTGTTAAATAAGACTCCGTTCTTGTTATTATATGACAGTACAATTTATTATCTCAGTGTCAAATTTTGGTACCTTTACAGAAGTCATATAAACTTGAAGGTCATGCACAGTACAAATATTATATGATCTACTGACATATCAAGAATATAGGAACATTTGAACATTTGGATGAGACTAATTTGGAAGCAGGAAAACACATGCATTAATTTCAATCATGAAACACATGCTGTAATCATGGTCAAATAATTCTTGTGATTTCTTTTGGTCCTCAAGAATTTAAAAAAAGAAAAAAGATGTCATTCCTAAAGCAGTAATTACACCGAAAAAGAGTTTTTATTTTCTATTTAAACTAATTCTATATAAACATGGTTAAGTTTAACAAACTTTAAAAAGGAGGTTTAAGCTTTTGAATTTAATAGATATATCGAGAAGTGTTTTTGATCACAATTAGATAAAAGGGGTGTTTTGAAGAGGAACCTGTCTTTAGATAAAGTCAATTATATTGAACTATGGAGATAATCTACTAAAGTGTGCAGTAATTGTTATAAATCTCACCAGGTGTGCTCAGTAATTACCGTGACACGCGATATATTGTCGACATACATTGTCGTGTAATAAGACACCACGCTAAGGTGTCGCTAACCTAGTCAGACATTGCAGCATTTTTGTGGTTTTACAAAGATAGAATTACTGCCAAAGTAAACAAACACTGTCCTCTTGTGTTAAAACCTGGAGAAATACGAATTAATGCATCCAAACTTCTTTCTCAGTAATGCAGTAAAAAATGTGTGTAGGAGTGGGGTATACATATATCATAGGAATTTTATACATTAGACATTATTCAATTTTACTGTCACTGTTAAATTTGAACTGTATATTACATAAAAATAAACAGGTGTAAACCTATTTTGATTTTTTAAAAGATGCTCTTCAGCCTACTCTTGTAATGAATACTATTCAGTGATGACAAAGATTTTTTTCGGATGGGTTTTTGTTCTATATATACTTCTTTCTTCAGGTCATTAACATTACATGATGAGTAAATTGAGAGATATTAGGGTAGATGAACTATGATGAGCAGTGAAATGGATGCGATTTTTTTAATGGTGATTGTGAGGGCAACATTCTTCAAAGTGATGAGCAAGATCAATGAAATTATGTATATCTGTTTTGTAATAAGTTCAGAAATTCACACATGGCCTTAATTTCTACCTCACGTTTTTAGGCCATGTGGATTATTTCAAATGGTTTCCTTAATGCATTTGAGAAGTAGAAACTCTCTCTGTAACAGTATCAGAATGATTTGTCTATAAGAAAGTGATATTCAGTTCTAAGTCTCTACAACAAAACTCTTACAGAATGTTTGCACCCCTCCCCTTCTTAAAAAAAATATGGATTTGACATTGCCGTATTTAAGTACATTGAAACACACTTATTACAAAGTGTCAGGGAGGGTCAACTTTGCTTCATTAGACATGTATAATTTGTGGTATCCAATAAACTTACAATTATTTTAAAGTCATGGGAAATGAAAATCACTTCTGTATAACATGTTCCTTATAAGCATGAAAGTATCAATTCATTATAAATGTGTTTTACTGCAAAGGGAGATTTTGAACTAAATTATTAGTATAAAAATTATAATTACTGACATTTTGGAAGGAAATCTCTGGCACAGACTAATTTGCTCTGGCTCAGTAGGAACCGACTCTCCAAAGATAGAGCAGTATTGATTTATTATAGAGAGGATTTCAGTGATGTTAGGAGAAGAGGATTAACTGTCCTTAGGAGCTTCTACAACATCACACAAGTGACCTCAAAACACATCTACAGAAACTCATTAAGCACAATCTGACACTCAATAAGTGACCAGAGAGATTTTTCTTCCTCAGTGGCTGTATAAGTGAAATAAGCTAGGCTGAGTCATTAATGCAGGGAAAAAAGTCAATTAGTCCTTGGGAAGTGACACAGTGTCCCTGGCTGAACTCTTCACCCACTCTGTGTATTGATTGTACGGGGATCATCCTCTGAGGTACAATGAGACAGAGCCCCCAGTAACAGTGCTCAGGGTATCAGGTGCTAGATCAAGGTGTCCTGGCTCCTATATATACAGCAGCAACTGGGTGACTCTGTGTATGACATTGTCAGTAGTGTATTCCTTGTCTCAGGTTATCTGATCTAGATAGAAAAGCTTCTTGTATCATCATGATTACGAATGTTAAATGTAGTTCATAAAGAAAAAACTGAACTTCGAAAATGAATGAAATAACATAAAAGAGGATGATTTTGTAGCCATTTGTGACAATATTGCGCAACAGAACTTTTATGCCACACATATCAAAAAAAAAAAAATCTGGAAAATATAATTAATTTTACAGTTTAGAAATTTTTATGGCGTCGGGCTTGCCCGATCGTCATCTAGCGATCAGTCAGGTTTACGCGACCGCACATGTCAGTGGATGCATCCGCAATAGAAAATAGCAACAGCTGTAAACCAATTTCTTTTAAAACGTTCACAATGAATAATAACTTGAATATAAAATTAAATCAATTGTATCTTCAATAAATTCTACTACATGTTGCGGTTGTTGCGGATGTATTTCTACAGAGAGGGTGTGCCGAATGACATGAATCACATTTTGGGACTGATTAATGTAATACAAACAATCCTAAATACGATAAAATAATTACAAAATAAACACGAACACAACAAGACTATAAAGATTGAATTTCTTAATCTTAGCTTTACTTTTACGATCTTCAATCCAATTTTATCCGAACAACCAACGATATTGACCAGTTATGCCAGTATTACTGTATTTATCCATTTCCTCCATTTGTTTACCGCGCCCTATCGGAAGTCGATCGTAACATTAGAGTCATGGTTGTAGTTAAGATGCAATCACTATACAACACAACGCTCTGACAGTGGCAATTAATTAAAATAATTTATGAAACCCTTCATATGTCTTCGATTGACTGAAAAGAAATTAGATTGATATAGAGGATGGACATTTCTGAATTTTAGGACACAAGGCTATCAGGCCCTATACTGTATTTGTGTTAAGACTTTTTTTTTTATTATTATTATGTTACCGGAGTTACTCACTTGACCTATCTGCAGATCTTTTGAAATTGTTTTTCTTGTTCGACGCCATTGAAGCCTTTCAGGCTTTTGATTTTTAGATTTATAAGGAAAGCCCAGGAAACAAAGATACCCTTGGAAATATGCTGATGATAAGAAATGATTAATTTTATAGATACTCATGTGACAGAGGGTTAATGAATGCTTATATCATTTCAGTTCAAGGGCAGGTAATCACCACTCCAACAGCAGAGAATGCCAGTAGCATCCCCAGCTCATCCCCTACCCCCTCTCCAACAACCCCAGCCCCACCTAAAGTCACCACCGAAACTGTCCTCACCACAAAGCCAGCCCCCGAACCAGTGATCCCACTAAACATTGCCTATGGACAGGTGGGTCAGAATGCTTCCGTGCCTTGCTTCATTGATGCATTGGACATGTACCCAGACAAGATGTTGTCCACTACATGGAAGAAGAATCATATGTTTATTGCTAATGCTGCCATGGGTGCGGACGGTAAATTGTCGCTGACGTATCTAGACGAGGAACTGAAGAAGAAATTCCAGGTGGAGGAGGACTACAGCCTGGTGGTGACGGAGCTGGAAATGAAGGACTCCTCCAACTTTACCTGTACCGTCATCAAGTTCCAGACAGACCAGCGATTAGTACAGGATGTCATTTACACCAATGTCACCTATCTACTGGTTCAAGGTCAGAGAGTTTTTGTCATGTACTTAACAAAAAGGCATATCATAAAATTTGTCTACTTTCCAGACTAGTAGCAATATCTTAAGGTCTATAAAACTTTGAAGAGAGTTATTGAGATAAAGTCACTTCATGGATCTACAGTTAATTCTCGATAAACCGCCACCTTTTGTAATTTAGAAATCATGGCGGTATAACGAATTTGGCGATGAATCGAATTTTCCATCTTTTAGAAAACAAGAAATAGAGTTACCGTTCTTAGAAATATCATTTAGCGTTCCTATTCTTATTATTACATGTACATGTATATAAAAACATATTTCTGATTAAAAATACTTCAAGTTATTTTTTTAATGTACAATTTCGCTAAAAAAATGTGCAGTTATGAATGAAAGACAAGTACATGTGTATGTATGTAAATATGCACGTCTGGTATTGAAAAAAAACCATGCTGGGTCGTCGTCGTGATATATTGCCGATAGAACGTAAAATAAATTCTTGAATAAATTTATTGTTTATGGCATCATTATTAATGAAATGTTCACAATTTATACCGTATAACTATATTTTCAGCAAACTTTGCATTGTTTAAAACAGAGATCAACGAAATAATATCGTTATCGGCGTACTTTAACAACGACCCCTTTCATGGCGAAGCTGTGATTAAATGATATTTATTAAACAGAAAACAGAATTATGATAGTTCATCTTAAAATTATTGTTTATTTAATTCTTGTTTAATTACTTAATTGCATGTACCTTTTCTGCCTTTGCATGCTTTACAACTGGGATAGCCGTCAACCAATTAGCCGCGCTTCACTGACCACATGCACCTGTGGCGGTATATCGAGATAACCGACACTTAAAAATGGACGTTTGTTGTGAAAACAGGGTGGCGGATGGCGGTATGCGAATTTGGCGTTATAAAGAGAATTTTATATAGCAGGAAAAACGTTCTTGGGAAATCATGGCAGTATTGCAAAAATGGCGATGAATCGAATGGCGATAATTCGAGAATTGACTGTGTGTAGCTAGCAGGCTTCCCTGTTTTTTGTTTGTTTTTTTTTTATATAATGTAATTCTGGTTGTAACACTGTATTTGATTTGGATAAAAAATTTACTTTATATCAAATAAAATGGGTTGCCTACGTCACAATGACTTGCGTCAAAAACGTATCAATCTGCCTGACGTTACATTCAAATTTTGTACAAACTGAAGTCATTTTGTTAGAACAATCATCTTTTTTTCTTACATCAAATGAATGAAAATTAAATTATAAGCAATGAATTTAATAGCTACCCATTTTATATGGTATAAACTGTGTTGGAACAGTTTACGCTTTTTTATAAACCACTTCGCGGTTTATAAAGCGTAAACTGCCCCAACCCACTTTATACCGTATAAAATGGGTAGCTATTAAATTCATTCCTTAAATAAATTTCATAGTGATTAGTAAAGGTAATAAAATTATATGCATGTATTTTGTAGAAAGATCCTAATAATATTCTCTTTTATAAAGTTGCAGTACTTGAAAGTTTTTTTATCTACAACAAAATGGACGTATTGAATGAATGTTTTAACTACAGTGCTTTAAGCAGTTCCGGATTTTAAGCAGTTCCGAATAATTTTAATTAAATAATTAAAATTAAGCAAACATAAATGTTTCTGTTTCTTATGATTCTTTACATAAATGAAGCTTTATGTATTGTCCATACTCTGGATGACATAGCGAGATCAAGAACTCCGTCTATCTTACCGTGTCCAGGCTTTTTGTTTACAACCGCAAGCGCTTAAGTGACGTTGACCGACATTAAACACGTGCTTTCTTGAAAGTAAAGACGTGCTCTGAAACTGTGGTAAGGTGTGTATTTCATTTAAGATATGTGAATGAAACATTGATGTATCTTCTATCTCATGAAATTTCGGTTTCGTTAAAATACGGCGTAAATCCAAAATAAAGAGCAATATTCACAACATCCCATTTTAAGCAGTTCCGAATGAACCATAAACGGGGTTGTCTCAAAAGAGCTGGTAAAACAAACAAGAGAAAATACGTAAACAAAAAGTCAGAAACATGAATTTATTTTACATTCAGAGTTTTATCATAAATTATGTTGATTTTAAAAGGCTGAGAAAGTATTATTAATTTCAAAGTCATGGCTTTAATATTTTCTCTCTCCCCCATATAGCTTCTTCTCTCTCTCTCTCTCTCTCTCTCTCTCTCTCTCTCTAACACACACATGCTGTTTACAGAAGATACTACAAATTCAAAGATCCTTAGAAGAAAATACATATAAACAAATTAATAAAATTGAATCGAGAAACTGTAAAGAATGAACAGATCTCATTAAATATTATACAATGTAGAGTGTATTAATTTTTTTTCAATGTTTGCTATATCTAATATATCACTGAGTCCAAAGAACTTAAAGTAGTCAAGGGAAAAAAAAAGAAGAAAATGTCCTAAATCAAAAGAAAGCAAGAACTTTATGAAACCACCAATGAAACCAAAAGAGGGTTACTGCTAATTACAATGTATGTAGCAGGCCTTCTGATAGCTAGGTCATCAGTGTGCTGAAAGTTTTATCAAATTCTTTTTAGACAATCCTGGATTAAAATGGAGAATTTTTTGCAGAGGTTAATAATGTATATTACATGTGTTTGTTTCCGTCATCTGTCCTTCTGTCAATCTGTGACACTTTGTGTTAAGCCCAGTTTCAAAGAAATTTTTCAATTTTTATCAAACTTCATTTGCTGACACATATAGTGAGAGGTATTCAACTGCTTAAAGATTTGTTTTTACCTTGACCTCACTTTTTTTAAATTTGCAGCTTGCTAACTTTCAAACCAAAAAAACTATTCAAGATATTTTTGTAACTTATACATAATTTTAAATTTGGTAAGAATTTATCAACTGTGTGTATTTTTTTAAAAACTGACTTCCCCTATGGCCTTCAACTTTCTCATCTACTGTGTATAAAAATGATTTATTTTGAAAGTACATGTACTCAAGTTTAACTTTTTCTTCAAACTTCACACACTATATAAAGCAAAGTTTCATGTGCATTCAAATTTTGAACTGGTGATTATATGTTGGGCATTTATGTCCTATTCCTCGTTTTTTGTATGAAATGAACAACAATTCCTTGATTAATTATATTATTTATTTTGATGATTTTTTCTAGTTTTTTCCAGTGCAATTTTCTGATTTTTATGGGTTTTTTTTATTTTTTTAAAATATTTGATAGTTTATTTTATCGTTAATAAAGTTGTTGAAACATGATCTTTTCTTCTTTATATATGATATAATTGATATTCCATTTTGAGCTCAAGTCTTTAAAAAAGTGGGGGAAAATATTATTGTCCCTATTAACTTAAGATCTGATCGTTAAAAATGAATTTTGAGACGACCTCTGTTGTTACAATTATAAATAACAACGATAGGTGGCGAAAACCGGAACTACTTGAAATCATCTAAACTGCTTGAACTCCAGCATATTTTAATTGGAAAACTTCGATTATAAAGTATAATGTTTTAAACAAAATATTAATGTGGCTTGAAAGAGTAAATAAAGGACTACTTATTTCAATGTAGAAATCAAACACAGGTCCTGCATAAATAATTTACCGAGTCCCGTTACGATCCGGAACTGCTTAAATCACTGTATTATTCATGAAGTAAAACAGTACATGTATTCAAATACTGCCATTTTATGTTCTCAGGACATGAAATTCTCGACTTCTTTAAAGCAATTTGCTGTCTCTTTTTATACTTGTTTGATCCTTTGAATTACTTATAAATCACAGCTTCAGGCCTGTTGTTGTACAGTTTTTGATTTTATTTTACAGATGTGCCTTCCCCTCCAGGGCGCCCCAATATCTTAGAGAAATCCTCCCGCACCGCCAAAATCAGCTGGGCCCCGAGTCTTGCTGACAACAACAGTCCCATAATGCACTATTCTGTCAATGTCATGTAAGTCGTAGTACCTTAGATATCATAAGTCGGCATTTAGATCATCTCAGAAGAATGACAGGGATTTCCTGTCTTTTATCTAGAAATTTTAAAAAACTGAAACTTTATGAAAGTTTTTTCAAAGTGAAGGATTTTAAATGCAGGCATAATACATTTTAGAAGGTTGGAAATTGATGCACTCAAAATGAAAAAAAAATTTGAATGGAAATTGTTTGTTATCAGTGTCACTGTGTCATATTTGTTTCACAATGCATGCTCTTCTTTTAATATTTTCACACTTTGTTTGCCTTTGCACTGAGCATTTGATTTATGATTAACTAGGAATGGAACTTTGATAAATCAAGGCAGTAGTCACTTTTCTTCTAGACACAGATGGTAATCAAACTAACTGGGAAGTGCTTCCTAATACAGTTTACATGCTATTTGTTTTGGAAGGTGTAGTCTGGAGCAGAAAAATTTGTCTATATATAAAGCTGCTAGCTCTGAAGAAATGGGGCATGACTATAACCTAGAAAGCAGGCATAGCATTTTATTTTATCTTAATGAGTCTTAATAAATAGAAACTCTTCTGATCAAAAATCCCTCTGAGTGTCTGTTGTTATATAAAATCATCTGTAATACTTCACATTTTGATTTCTTCTCTAGACGACCAAATAACGATAACTGAATCACCAAATAGTCTTAATACATTCAAAATTATTCATTGTTTACCCTTCCTCCCCCCACCAAAAAAATATTGCTTGGTTAAAAGAAATAGATTCAAGGTTTTAAACATGTGTAAACCTTTATATTCTCTATACAGGGACATTCAGAAATATGTAGAGAGAAAACTTTACTTTTTGTAAATGGAATTAAACTGATGTTAAAAGCCTATTTGAGCTATCTCCCCCCCCCCACCCCCGCCCACTTCCAAACATATTCTCAAAATTCCTAGCCACTACATGGCTACAATATTTTACATTAATAAACAAGTACATGTACAAGTTTTAAACCTATGACCCCTAATGGGTCCAAAATTTATGTAGAAATGCATATATAAGTTTATAAACCCATTAGTTTTTAGCTCACCTCTAGGAAGTTGGGGGAGCTTATGTAAAACCCTCGGCGTCGGCGTCCCAGGTTAAGGTTAAGTTTTTTGGAGCAGTTTTCTTTTTAAGTACTTCTGTGTCCTATATTGATTAGACATGCATGGAAGATGGTTCTAGTGTGTTTCATTGTACCAGTCATAGTTTCAGATGCTGCAATTTCAGCAAAGGAATGACCAGGTTAATTTTTTTGAGCAGGTTAACATTTTTGGTGCAGTTTTTGGTGTAGGTCTCATTTCCAAGGAACTATGAGCCTTATGTTGACCGAACTTGCATGGATGGAACATCAAAGGATGTACATTACCAGGCTTGCTTCGGATGCTGAATTTGACCTACATTTTCTGGTTGAGTGAACAGGTTAATGTTTTTGGTGCAGGTCTCATTTCCAAGTAACTATAAGCCCTATGTTGACCAAACTTGCATGGGTGATACATCTAAGGATGTACACTACCAGACTTGCTTCGGATGCTGAATCTGACCTACATTTTCTGGTTGAGTGAACAGGTTAATGTTTTTGGTGCAGGTCTCATTTCCAAGTAACTATAATCCCCATGTTGACCAAACTTGCATGAATGATACATCTAAGGATGCATATTACCAGGCTTGCTTCGGATGCTGACTCTGAGCTACATTTTCCGGTTGAGTGAACAGGTTAAAGTTTTTAATGCAGGGTTCATTTCCAAGATACAATGAACCCTATAATGACCAAACTTGCATGGATGGTACATCTTAGGCTGCATACTACCAGACTTGCCTCGGATGCTGAATCTGACCTACATTTTCTAAATGAGTGAACAGGTTAGAGTTTTTGGTGCAGGTTTCATTTCCAAGTTAAAATGAACCCTATAATGACTAAACTTGCATGGATGATACATCTTAGGATGCATACTACCAGACTTGCTTCGGATGCTGAATCTGACCTACATTTTCTGGTTGAGTGAACAGGTTAATGTTTTTGGTGCAGGTCTCATTTCCAAGTAACTATAATCCCCATGTTGACCAAACTTGCATGAATGATACATCTAAGGATGCATATTACCAGGCTTGCTTCGGATGCTGACTCTGAGCTACATTTTCCGGTTGAGTGAACAGGTTAAAGTTTTTAATGCAGGGTTCATTTCCAAGATACAATGAACCCTATAATGACCAAACTTGCATGGATGGTACATCTTAGGATGCATACTACCAGACTTGCCTCGGATGCTGAATCTGACCTACATTTTCTAAATGAGTGAACAGGTTAAAGTTTTTGGTGCAGGTTTCATTTCCAAGTTAACTATAATGAGCTCTTTAATGACCAAACTTGCATGAATGCTGACCTACATTTTCTGGATGAGTGGTTAAAGTTTTTGATGCAGGATTCATTTCCAAGTAACTATGAGCTCTTTAATGACCAAACTTGCATGAATTATACATCTAAGGTTGCATTCTACCAGGCTGGCTACAGATGCTGAATCTGACCTACATTTTTCTCTGGATGTGTGAAGAGGTTAAATTTTTATGCAGGTTTCATTTCTAAGTAACTATAAGCCCAATGTTGTGCAAACTCGCATGGATGACACATCTTAGGATGCATACTAATGGACTTGCTCTGGATGCTGAATTCGACATACTTTTTCCAGATAATGGACCAGGTAAAAGTTATAGGTGCAGGTCTATTACCAAGAAACTATAAGGCTTATATAAACCAAACTTGCCCAAATGATGCGTCATGGGATGAAAACTCTCAAACTTGCTTCAGATGCTGGATTTTAATCACATTTTCGTGATGAAGAACTAGTTTGAAGTTTTTATATAGGTCTATTTCAAAGTATCAGATCAAAATTGCATAAATTTTCGCATTTTTGGATGTACACTTTTTGTTGGGTAATTGTGTGACTTTGCCTTAATTAAAGACAACATTCGTTGAGGTGAGCTCTGTAATCTCTGATTACCTATGTTTTACCATGCAAATACCTTTTGAGTGGAAATTTTTAGTGAGATGCGAGTTAAGCGATTTGTTCAATGCCCTTAAAAATCAGTATTTGAATTTTAGTGTGAGCTAATTTAGCAATTTTATGGTGCATGGAACATGTAAAAAGATTAGGGATGTCAACGAGAACGTAAAATGTTCATTGCATTTGGATGTATATTTTTAAATATTTCAAGCTTAATTAATGCATTAAAACATTGGTTTTAAAACGTAAAATGTTCATTGCATTTGTACATACAGTAATTAGGGTTTCCTATGCCTCTAAATGACCGTTATTGCCAGTGGCAGTGTTTATACAGTAATTATCGTGACCAAACACCTGATGTACCTACCCGGGCTTTTCTCACCTTCGACTGTCGTCTTCCCTTACATTTAGTTTGCTTTAATTATTTGTTTTCATTGAACATCGTTTAAGGTCCATTATATTTAAACAAATTAAATAATTTTGTCAATTCTCCAAAAAGCCGTAAATTCTCGGGAAAGAGACAGACGATATTGCACGTGCGATTGTTGATTTGGATGCATTTGATTACATGCCAATTAATAATGCAAATGGTTGAAGGCAAATGCTTTAAAAATCTTATGTCCATCGTTGCTCCAAAGTACAACATACTGTATCGTAATTCTCACAGGTGCTTGAGGACAGGACCCCCCCCCCCTTAATACAGACCCCCGGGCCTGTTAGACTTTTTTCACATAAATTATATATGGATGACATATTTGTGATATAATCTATCCTATCAATTCAGAAAATTTGCTTAAACTTACATTTTATAAAAATATCTACCCTCTCTATATATGATTATATAGGGAATGTAGGGTAGATTTAATAGAACGTTTGTTTTAGGTAATTTTTCGAATTGCTTGTATAGATCTTATCACAAATATGGCAATGAAAGATTTTTTATAAGAAAAAAATAGAAAAAGCCCAGGGGTCTATATCGAAAGGGGGGGTCCTGTCCTCAAGCACCTGTGGTAATTCTATGAAATCTAGGATCAAAAAGTGTATGAAGATCGTATAAATCTGCTCTATTATAGGATAACTTGATCAAGATTATACCGTACATATAGCTCAGACAACTTATCACTTGGACATCAAATGCACCAAGAGTTACATTACAATTACGGAACAGATTATTTTTTAAACAAAAACACTGTGAACCATTTCTGATTTTATTTCTCGTATTTATCTGATAAATAAATTGAACTTAAAAAAAATGTTAGATTAAATTTCATCGGTTACAAAGTGGTCATAATTGTTACAACGCATTTGCAGGTAACCCCCCATCGGTTGTATTTCTACAAGAGTTTACAATGTTTTAACTTGTTCATATTTATATACACTTTTACCGAGTACCCAGGTACTCGATCGGAAAAACGTCCGAGTAACCGAGTATCAAAAATTGACCGATTTGACATCCCTAAAAAAGATTAAGGGTAAACTCTACCTTAATAAATTATTTAGAGATAGTAATTACCATTGCTAAATGCCAATTGAAAATTGAATCCCTGCACTAAAATTCTGCTTTTACAATATCATGGATATGCAAGCATCAATTTATGCATTATATAGTGTCTAGATTAAATTGATAACATTGCTTATATTTTGGTTGATTCATTACTCCTTATTCAGAGATTTGTTTGAGACTTGGGTGAGCATTGTGTCCTTTGTCATTTATAAATTTAACATTTGTTGTCTTATCTGGAGAAATTAACAATAATTTTAAAAAGGTTGCTCCATTTACCAAGTCTGTCAAGTTTTCTGTCTATATAACATAGCTAATTAATAGTTGTCTAACATGATTTAATACTTGCTTATTGGTATTTTCTATACTGTGAATTAACTAGCTGGACTTTATAAAGGTCAAGGTAATATGATTCTTGAAGTCCACAGGTTTATATCTGAGAAGAGTTTGATGTTTGCAGAGAGATGTAAAACCTGAGAGTGGTGCGTCATCATGGTCATAGGCCTAGGTCAAAGAGAGGAAACAAATTGATATTCTGCACTTTGATCTTTACAGCTGTATGCTTAGGGATTTTACTGTTTTTTAAACAGATTTTGTTTTTACTTGCACTTATTTGGATTATATTAATTGTAGGAATAATGCGGGTATCAAAGTAAAACAAGTTTCTGTGTTCACCAATGAAAATCCTTCTGCTGTGTTAACTGGTCTCCGGCCCTACACAGCTTACCAAATCACTGTTTCTGCTGTCAACAAAATAGGAACCAGTTTAGAAAGTCAGCCTAGCGATATTTTCTACACTGACTCTGAGGGTAAGAATTTTGCTTTGTTTTACCACGAAAACATGTATGAAGTTAAGGTATATGACATTACTATTAGAAAAGTAATTGGAAATAAATGTTTGATATAATAAATATTTAAACAAACTTCAACCAAGTGAAGGAATGAAATTAAATGTTAAATCGAAATACAAAAGCGAAACTTGTATGGTATTTATCATTACCCAATGAAATCAATGTACATTGTATTTAAAATAAAAAGGATCACTTAGTGTTAATAAATTTATTAACTTGAAAAGCTTCAGTGCATCTGATGTGTCATATGGAAGTTAAGAAATCCCTATTCCTACTTCCACACAGTGAATGTTAAATGTGTATGTGTGATTTCAGTTCCTGAGGTGGCCCCCCAGCACCTGGTGGCTACTAGTAACATCAGCAGCAGAATTCACCTCTCCTGGGACCCCCCACCCAAAGACAAGTGTCATGGGAACCTGGAGGGGTACAGAATACAGTATACCTCACAGAGAGATTTGATCAACAGAGTCATCACATTGGAGGATCCAAAGAAAACTGTAGGTGTATTTTGGGACTGAATACAATAAAATTATGGGAGATAAGACTTAAGTATAAATGATTTTATGATTCATGTGCTTGTGTTACATCTTGTCTGAAGGGGTTTTAGATCTAGCATATACTGTGCTCTTTTAAACTATTTACATGTGTATTTACTTTGAAATCACTAATGTTGGTGGGGTAGGGGATGGGTAATTTTTGCTGTTTTTGAGGTATAAAGAGTTATGAAGAGGTTACATGTACATGAAATTTACATCTATTATGCAAAAGGTTACATGCATATATTTTACACCTAACCATTCTCTCAAATTAGTGAAATGTGAAAGTTAAGGTAGCAATTGAGATTTTGCTTGTTGTTTCAGAGGATCACTTTGTTTGGGTTACAACCCTTTGAGGAGTACGAGGTGGCAGTGTTAGCCTTTAACAATGTGGGGGAAGGACCAGCGGTGAAAAAGCTGATACGCACAGCCGAAGGAAGTAAGATCTCTTATTTTGTGAGAATCAATTTTAGTAGTAGGTGTTTTATTGAATTTAGAAAATATTCAATGCCATGTAGAATTTCAATGTGTTTTATATTCATTCAAAAAAGTTATAATTTCATATACACTTATAATGTGTTTTTATGTTGGGGGAAAAACCTTTTTGAAAAAGAGTTGGATAAAACGTGTGTTATGGTAGAGTATTAATTAATCTCACCTCTTAGTCCCAGGTAAACCTCTGATGATCCACACAAACACACATCCTATGTCTACGTCATTCTTTGTAAAATGGCTGGCTCCAGATCGGGTGAACGGATTTATCCGGAGTTACGAGCTCCGCTGGCAGCGAGACAACGTCACAAAGACAAAGGTCATCTCCAAGTATCTCAGTAACCCCATGTCAGAGCAGGTCACCAACTTAAGTAAGTTATAAAAAACTTTAGAGAAATATGGTAATAGTGAACATGCTTATAATGAATTCATGCAGTGAATTTATTTTTCTTCTCTGTGGCTGTAAGTGAGACTATACATCATAATTGCAACTGTTTTATTAAAAATTATGGTCATTTATCGAAATTTTAATCCACTTTAGCTAACCACCAGTACAGATTTCTTGTGCATTGGAGATAAAATTTAATGAATATAAATATTGCAATATAAAAAATATTTTTATAAAATCAAAATTGTTCGTCCATGGCACTTTGTTAAAAGCATGTTTACTACATCATTTCCATAGAACAAAACAGAAAAAATTTTCAGTAAGCATACATTTTTTTAGAGAAAATTTATATTTTATAATGCAATCTGTTTCTCTGGGAACTCTGGGACTGATTACTAATTAAATTTTGTTTTACACAGAGCCATTTACTCAGTACAGAGTACAAGTAAGGGCCATAACTGGTGGAGGAAAGGGGGAGTTCAGTGATGTGTATCCTGTGTACACAGATGTTGCTGGTAAAAAATCAAGATATAGCTTCTGTTTATCAATAAAAATCTGACTATTGCTGCTCCTAAAATAGAGTTTGATATGACATTTTCTCTGAATGATGCAATACTATATTTTGCAGTTCTTCAGCATCTAATGAGTGATGACATTTAACAATTGCCACACACTGGAGAAAAGTAACCACATTTTGCCATACTGTATTAACATTTTTTCAATGTTTGTGTGTTAAGGACCAAGTCCACCAGAAATAACCAACTTGACGGTGCTGGGATCCCGCAGTATCTATCTGTCATGGGAGCCTCCCAAACATTTCTACAGAACCATAGACCACTACTACATCCAGATCATAGACACCTCTTCTTACCTCCAACAAAGAAGAGCTCTGGAAAATAATGAAAGAGAGGTTTGAAAAGGAGCATTCAATATCAAAACTTAAGTCAGAAGTTGAAAATTAATTCATAATTGTTTATTGGGTGATCTAATTTACTGTAAACATGTTACATTTGGCGATGTATTCTCTTTAGCGGCTTTGGCGGGACGCAGCAACTGCTACATCAAGTACAAAGCTAAATGTCTTGCACATACACACATGAATAAGAACGTGAAGAAATGCGCTAAATCAAATCTACGCTAACTTATTCAAAAGTCAATTTCCGCCAAATATCGTACACGCTAAATATTATACATTTACAGTATTTCAACAAATTTCATTTAAGCATTATTTCTATGCCTTGTTGGTAATTTTTAAAATTATGATAACTGGGTTACTTTTTAAACTATTATTACACGTACATGTTTATAAGAAAAATAGATTTATTGCCTATTGTTGATTTTACTGCATTTAGACTAAATTTATACTTTTTCTTTGAAAAATGCATTAATATTTTGTTAAGTCATGTATAAAATTAAATATTGAAGAGACTGAATATTTTACAGACCATAGTAACTGGACTTCCAACCAACACCGAATACTCACTAAAAATAGCTGGGGTGACCAAAAGTCTACACTCTAATATGCACTACATAGGAGAATTCTCTACACCCTGGACATTTACTCTCTCAGGTGAGGAATTGTTTGGCTCATCACTGTATAGATATCTGTACACCTGTGTACCTGGCTATGTAAAATCAGAAAAGTTATTTATGCATATTCATATAATAGTCCTCATAATGCATATTTACGAACACATTTACATTTCTTTTATAGTCACTGTGCAATTTACCCACATACCATCTTTCCAATTTTGTATTCAAAATAAAATTCCAATTTTGCATTCAAAATTTTTACAACACCTGGTAAAATGGGGCAGAACAATTTAATGCACTTAATTTTGGAACATTTAATTTCAGTCTTTTTAAGACAGAGATGGATTCAGTGTTATTTGCATTTTCTAGGAAGTATCATATCTGTATGAAATATGAAATGAAAATTTGGTTTTAGATAAATACAACAGTACAACTATACATTCATCAGCAATCAAAATTTCATATATTTTTTTCAATCTAGAATTTAATGTGAGTTTCTTTTATTTTCATTAATTCTTTACATCTGGTCATGCTGTATGTTAAAAAGTGCATGAATTCTACTCATCACTATAACATTCATAAGATACTTTAAACATGGTAAATGATCTAAAGTTATAACCCTTTTCTGCATTTGGGGAAAAAAAATTATTGGACCTCTTCTAATAGTTTTTCTTCTTTCCTTCCTCTTTTACATCAAGCTATCAGATTTTTCAACCTTTTTCAAATGAGTTCAAGATGATGTTTGTGTGAAATAGGATCTAAAATCAAGCATATTTGGGACTTAAGCAATGTCTTTGTCTGCCTGCCTTACATTACATTGTAAAAGTCCTCTTATAAACACAATCCTTATGTTTTCTGTATAGAACATTCAGAGGATGGTGAGAAAATTATTATATTCAGTTGAAAATTTATTTTCTTTGCATGATATCAAATAACCTTTTTTTGTCTGTATGTAACTTTTTTTTCGTAATAATTTTATGTAAATATTAATTTGTGGTGAAGATATGAATATGAGTAGCTTAGAGAAACTTGAAACACAGATCATATATCTTGTATGTGTGATGTTCACAAGCATAATCTTTATGTTTGGGAGTTTTGTAATAGTTTCCTGTATATTCTCTTTGTTTTGGGGTAGATGCAGCAAAGGTTGATAAAATACAAATGATTTATAAAAGCAGTGTTGATGTTGACAGATCATTCAATAACACAAAATGGCATGGAGGGACTCCAGAGCATAGACACTTGACGTTACATATTTTTCTTAATAAAAAATGTAACCCATGCCTAAAGTCCTTCAGAGTAAATAATTTGCCACTGAAAGCATCGTCTTAATTAAGCAGTATCCATCACTCAAAATGTCCTGGATTTAATGGCAGAAAATAGAAATACTTATAACTGGTCATTGAATTGTCTGAATTGAAGAGCCTTGTTGATTCCTATGGCTTTCACATTGCACACAGAATTAGATTTGATATGAACTGCACTACTTTTGATACTCAAATTTCATCTTTTGCAAGTTGGATTAAAAAAAAACACACAAACAAAACAGAATCTCTTTAACAGTATGATTTTACAGGTAAATTTTATCATGATTTGTTTGATGGAGCATAAATAATATAAGTTGTTATGAACATGCACATGTGTGAAGTTCAATTTAATTCTGCAACACATCTTTTATTCAGTAAACATAACTTGGAAATTACATTTACCATTTTAAGTCCTTTCCTTGCTATAACTGTGTATAGTATGTTCATATACATCTTACATAGATATAAAAGTACATGTATACCACTTTAAGCTAACATATATGTAGAAATTATATATAATTATTAAATATATCTGTTATTTTAACTTTTAACATTTTTTGTTGTTGCATATAATTATATTTATGTTACTATAGTTACTGAACATTTAAGGGGAGGGAACTTAGCAATTTATCTTTCTTTTTTCAATCATTGCTTTACTTTATGATTTGAATTAGGTTGAAATAATAGAAACCTATTTCTCAAGCTAATAAAAAAGAACAGTGCATATAATTGTTAAGAAATGGCAGCATGTACATGTTCATATATTTAAAATTGAATACTTCAGTTTTATTTACCCGGTAATTGTTTATATGAAGATAATTTCCTAAAAATTAAATTTTTAAATGTGATTTTAATTAAGATATGTATAATGTTATAAGCAGTGAAGTAAGAAAGGCATTGTATTGTATAAATATTTTATGAGATATAAAATTGATCTAGGAAAGGTAGAATATACAAGCTACAACTCTTCATCTTTCTATAACTACTGTAACAGCATATTATATGATTTCTTTCTGTCTTGAAATGAAGATCTCATGCTTAATCATGTTAATCATTGCTAAAAAATATCTATAAACATATCCAATCAAAAAAATGCATAGATTTCAGAATCATCATATTGAATATTCATTATGCTCTCTTTATTATGATAATTGAAATGGCTAGTTGATAATCTGAATTCTGAAGTAATGTCTTGTATGTACAGACTGCTCTGTCTATTTGACAGTTCCCCTCACCAATATGTCCAGGAGCATTATACACCTTGCTAACAGCACCAAGACTAATAGCTACATATATCATAATGAGCCAGGTGATACATAGTCATTCTTAGTTGTATTTCTGTCTGGCTTCTTTTTTATTTGGCCTGCTCTGAGTGCTCTCGTTTTTAAGTTTTGTGAAGTTATTAAGATTTCATGGAATGTGACTGTAGTACCGGTACATAGAAGATAATGCATTTGAATTATACATGTACATTACTTTTTATTTTGATGTAAACTTCAGTCAGATGTGGTGATAAAAACAGCAGTTCAATGCAAATGTTAATCTCAGTATGTATTTGAATTTCAAGCTAAGAGAGAATACATATGATAATGTTGACCTTTTAGAAAAGACACATTTACCGGTAACCATTTAGATTGCCATTGTTGATTTCTGTGTAAAAGGTTATTTTCGCCCCTATTATTTTTGCCCTTTCATGCTTGCAACCATTTTTGCCCTGATTTGAATTCGTTCAGACACAATTCTGTTTTGGAGATAAAAACCTTTTTTTGCCCCATCTGCAATGAGGGCAAAAAATTAAATGGGAGCAAACCTTTCTGTCTGCAGTATTTCTATCCATTTCCTAAATCTGTGGATTTTTAATTTCTTTTCTTCAAACATGTACATGTAAATTTCAAACAACTTGACAGCTTGTCCTTATCATCATGATCATATAGTCATTATATCAAAGTACATTGTGATGTTCACACCAATACTTTGCTTTTTTCATGTATGGGGGGAGAAGTGGACAAGATTCTCATAATATTTGTACAGATTGAATTAAATTCATTATAAGACAAGCTTAGAAAACATTTTCAGTGATTTATTTTTAGGTAAAAGTCTTCTATTTGGATGTAAATACCAAGTGAATATTTATTAAGTTTATTTTAGTATTGGCATGTAATTAAAAAATCATTTTCTGATTTTTAAAGTTTTGTTGGGCCCTCATCATTTCATGTATTTTAAGTGTATGCTTTTAGTGTCACATTTACAGTCTGCTCATGCTGAAGCTTATCAAGATGGTATCTTATCGTTTTACATTACTTCTACCTGTAAATGTATTTTTTTAATTTATTCATCAGTAACTATGGAAACAGAATTTTTTATGGTGTTTATGACAGATCTTATTTCAGCACATGCCATGTACTTCTGGTTAACTTAAAGTTTATAAATATTATGAGGAGTTGAGGAGTGTCTCATAACAGCAATAAAAGTATCATTTCAAACTCAAAAATTTAATGTATTAAACAAACAAAAAAAAAAATAATAAAAACCATTTCTCAACAGCTATAATCACTACACATTCACATTAAATCTCAAATAAAAACAGTTTTAGGGGAGGGGGGGGGGGGGGAGTCCATTGGTGGATGATGGGATGGGGTCAAAATATGTGCTTTGTTGATAAAAGAATGTCTTTACATTTGTGGTTTTGGGACTTCATTTGCAAAATTAAAAAAAGAAAGTATGCTTATGTCACACTTCATTAACTTTCGTCAATTTTATGCTTATATCTACCTCAAAGCTTTGCTTCTCATATTCTGCATGTATTATATATATATTCATTCATATGTCATCTCATTATTATTAACACCACATCTAGTATATGTAATGTATATATCATTGGTTTACATTTACTAACATGTATTTTCAGAAAGGGAAGAAGTGCAGAAATATTCACCAGGAAATCATTCCATTGTCAATTTTACTTCTTTTCCCACTCGCCCACCACCCGAAAATCAAGAACCCATTATGGAAGGTGATTGAGCAACAAATTCTGTAAAATGAATGTTTTGATCCGTAGTGCTCTTTTGTTGTTCGTAGGATTACCCCCTTTTTTTCTTCAGTTAATTCTTGATTCGGTTATGTTTTCGCATGCAGACTTCACAGATAGCATGAAAATTCATTAGTCACTAAGAAAACCAGAGACTGATTTTGAATGTATTTCTCCATTGTTTACCAACCTGACAAAAAGTTATTTGTTAAATATTAAATACCTTTAGTTTGCATAAAATTTACATTTCAGACAGATAACTTTTAATTGTAATGTTTATATATAAGGAAAAATTTCCTTCTCTGAATTAGCACCTCTCATCTTTATTGTTTCATTCTTCTTTCTTTCTTTTTTGTAAAAAGAATTTTTGTTTTTTCAGTCTTGTAATATTTTATGTTCATGTTTACCTGTAACTACACACCACCCGAATGCTCTCATCATTTAGTCTCATTTCTTTCCTCTATATCACATTTCTGTAGTCTCCCATGTATATTTAGTCAACATCTGATCATAAATCTTGCACAAAGCATGCTGTATGTTTATGGTAGAATTGAGTATATTTTTAGATAATTTTACATCCAAAGGGTTGAAGTTTATGTAGTAATGATCTTACTACAAAGTTGAATTGTTAAATAAAAAAAACATAAGGGTGCATCCTGGTCCATTTGACCAGATATTGATAAGGACAGGTATTTCAAGAAAGTCCACAAGTGTAATCGCTATAAACTTGTGAATAAATAGAGTTTTGAAGAAAAAGAATTAGAATTTGTTCAACTGTAGCATTAGGTGGCTTTGAGTTTTTGTTGATATGGTATAATTGCTATTTTTCAGACCCTACAGCAGTGAGTCAGGCTGATGCTGAAGTTGTAAATGCTGGGATAGTAGCAGGGGTCGTGTGTACGATCATTTTCATACTACTCGCAGTTCTAGGATTTATTGGCTGCAGGTAAACTCAACAGAAAACTAGCTTCCTGTAGGTGAATAGGTGAATAGGATGGTTAGAGAAAGACAAAGAAAATTTTGATAATTCTTTTTATCTGTGTTTTAGGTCTCTGACTTGTCGGAAGTATTATCAGGCCGCTTATAATTATCTGGCTGTTCCAACAAATAACAACTCTCCCCCATCAACAGTTATTGTGGTGGCTGATCAAGCAGGTATTATACATCAACATTTTATGAACAGTCAAACTCCATTCAGGAATATAAAGAGATCTTTAAAATTTATATATTATTGAGAGTAAAGGAGAGGTTAGTTAATTGTTTGAAAAAAGGGATGTTATTTGTGAAATTTGTATGATTACAAAGTAAAGACCTTATTGTTCATTTCTTTAATGTGTATGTATATGTTTTGCCATAGAAGAGAAATCTTTCAATGCCCTGAAAGAAGACATAGAGTTGAAATTCCCCACCATAAGGAAGGAGGATTTTCTACAGCATGTCCAGTCCCTGCACGCTGATAGTGACGTGGGGTTCTCACACGAGTTTGAGGTGAGTTTAAGTAAACAGGTTATTTGAATATAGGTTTGAAAATACTTGCAAGTTTTTAGTAGATAGTAGATAAATGATGAGTCACCATGACCTTTTTTTTTACAGGAAATTAATAAACTGACCTCAATCACACCAAGAGCGGATGTTGGAGCTCATCCAGAGAATAAACAGAAAAATAGATATGTCAACATTCAGGCTTGTAAGTTCTATAGAAATATTTTCTATTGGCTGAAAAAAGATCTTGATGAGTATTGACTCGTAAAAATATACCTAAATACTGGATTTAAAAGTTTTTTCTCTCTACTAAAAGTTAATTCAATTTATAATTTTCTTTCTTCAGATGACCATTCAAGAGTCGTGCTTCAGAAATCCATACAAGGTCGACAGAGACAGTCCGACTTCATTAATGCCAACTATATTGATGTGAGAATGGGTGGAAAATTGAAAAAAAAAAAAAAACATGTTCATTTTTATAAGAAGTGAACGTGTACAATGAAATTTAGTTCTTGGGTCATAAACTTTGTAAAATGATTCACATCCAAAAAAAAATATTCCATATCAAAGTTTTCTGGGTATTAGTATAATTTACTGATAGTTTATTGATTTGTTAATTAGTGTAAAAAAAAGCCAAGTACTCAGTAATGCATTGTTTATTACTGGTTGATTGATTTGTTTACAGGGTTAAAGTTTTTGGTGCAGGTTTCATTTCCAAGTTACTATGAGACATATAATGACCAAACTTACAGTGATGATACACAAGGCCCCAGCCTTGCTTCGGATGCCTACCTACATTTTCCGGTTGAGTGAACATGTTAAAGTTTTTGGTGAAGGTTTCATATCGAAGATACTTTGAGCCCTATAATGACCAAACTTGCATGGATGGTACATCTTAGAATTCTGTTGTCATAGTGATGATCACAAAACTGGTAGAAAGGACATGGGTAAGTTTATGGTGCAGGATTTATGTTGATATAATGACCAAACTTGCATGGATGGTACCAAAAAAGGGCCTTTGAAATCTGTTACATTTTCTGGATTAGAAAGGTTAATTCTTTTTATACAGGTTTCATTTGCATAACAAATGTTGACCAAACTGCATGGATGGATGCACACTAATGGACATGCTGAATTCGACATCATTTTCCAAAATATTATAGGTTATATAAACCAGTTGCACAAATGATGCATCAAGTGTGTCTCAATCTTGCTTCAGATGCTGGATTTTAATTACATTTTCAAAATTTAAATATAGGTCTATTCTATCAAAATTGCATAAATTTTGCATTTTTGTGTACACTTTTTGTTGGTTAATTGTGTGACTTTATTTGCCTTACTTAAAGACAACACACGTTGAGGTGAGCTCTATAATCTCTGATTACCTATGTTTATAAGAAGTAAACGTGTACAATGAAATGCAGTTCTTGGGTCATAAACTTTGTAAAATTATTCACATTCAAAAAAAATATTCCTTATTAAATTTTTCTGGGTATTAGTATAATTTACTGATAGTTTATTGATTTGTTAATTAGTGTTAAAAAAAAAAGCCAAGTACTCAATAATGCATTGTTTATTACTGGTTGATTGATTTGTTTACAGGGTTATAAGAAGCCCAGGGCTTACATAGCCACACAAGGCCCGATGCCTAACACCTTTGCAGATTTCTGGCGAATGGTCTGGGAACAGAATTCTGTTGTCATAGTGATGATAACAAAACTGGTAGAAAGGACAAGGGTAAGATTTAAGGGAGCTTTATGTTGATTCCTACCGTCCAAAAAAGGGCCTTTGAAATCTGTTATAGATTTATAAATCAAAGTACTGAAAATGCTGGGAGTCACAGGCATCACATCATCAAAATATTAAGGTCATTAGCTGTGTAACGAATTGCATTTATTTTGTCAAAATTTAAAATTCTTCTTTTGATTTCTTTGTGCTATATCTTCAGATAGGCTATGAGATATAAATGTATTTGTTGTTTTTCTTCCAGAGAAAATGTGACCAGTACTGGCCAGAGGATGGTATAGAGACGTATGGCTGTATACAAGTCAAACACGTCAACACCTTCTCTAGAGCCCATTATACTGTTAGAATATTCTCACTGAAAAACGTCAAGCTTAAAAAGGTAAGTAAGAAATAATTATTGTGTGATTAAGAGTTCAAAAAGCCATGTGATACACAAGTTTGTGACATGAGAAACAAGTTGTAAGATGTGTAAAGAATAAATGTTGTACATGTTTATCAGATGAGTGAGATACTGCACTTGTGCATGGATGTCGAAATATTTAAAAACTGAATGAGATTAAAAACAAATTTAATGATACTGTCAACAAAATTGACCAGTGTTTTAGCAAAATACAAAACTAAATATGAGATATAAGTGGAAGCCTACTAGATAAGTTCCTTTGATTAAAAATCAATATTCAATCCCTGCTTTATTTTTTGCAGCAATTTTCGGAGAGAATAGTTCACCAGTTCCACTATACTGAGTGGCCGGACCACGGGGTACCCGATTTTACTCTCCCTGTTTTAAAGTTTGTACAGAAATCTGCAGCTCTGAATCCTATAAAGGCAGGCCCCATAGTTGTACACTGCAGGTAAACATACTAGGGGCTTTATACCATCATATGCTTTACACAGATGTGCCATCTTCATGTATTATTAGATTATGATGTAATGAACTTTAGCATGCACATGAGACCAGGGAAATTGATACACAATTTTAAAGTACACAACTTACACCATTTTAATTTATAAAATGTTATTTGATTATATATGCATCTATTAATGGTTAATTTAATTTTTTCTTTTTTTGAATCTGAAATACATCTAAGTGTTTTTTTCTATTAGTTTTATAACAAAACAAAATAGCAGATGTACCAACCCAATAGTTAAAATGAATGTATAAAATAAAACATCTTGTTGGTAGTAATGTTTTAAGCAATAATAATTGTAATAGGCAGATTAGTATCTGAAATATTTTGGTTGAAGGTGAAATCAGGACTTGAAATACTTTTGATAGAAAGGAGGGCTGGATTTTTAAGAAATGGGGATTATAATTAATGTGCACTGTATTTATGCTCCTGTTTTATAGAGTCATGTATTAATTTTTACACATTTACGCTTTACATGCATTAGTAATACATGTAACATGAAAATGTATTAATAATCATATTAAGAAATACATCTTTTAATATTCATAATTTAATACACAAATTATTATTCCTATTGGTTTTCTTTTTCTCCAGTGCTGGTGTAGGGAGAACTGGGACCTATATTTTGATTGACAGCATGATTGAACAAATCAAAGACCTTGGCACAATTAATATACCCGCCTTCTTATTACAAATCCGGCAACAGAGGAACTTCCTGGTGCAGACAGAGGCAAGTTTAGGAATCTCCTTAAATTCAATTTCATTGACATATAATATTGAAATGGTTTTATTTTTATGAAATGGTTTTAGGAAAACACTGTAAAAAGAAATCTTTCTTACATTTTTTAGAAAAGTACTTGTAGTATGATGTATTGAATTTAGAATTCTTTTGGCAGTTATGTAACATGTTACATTGAGGAATTATAAACTGCATTTGAAACTTTTTTCAATGAAAGCCTGCTACATTGTATTGGATTTTTTTCAGTCCTTGTAGGATTTTGAATATAAAAACATTAAAAAGTAATCTGAGACATTATTGATATTGACAGGATCAGTACATGTTGATTCACGATGCTCTGGTGGAATACCTCCTCTGTCCCACCACAGAAATCAAACAATCCGATGTAAAAGTCTACACAGAAAAGCTGGCAGAAACCCCACTAGACATAATGCCCTCATTACTACAAAATATATTTCTCGTAAGTAAATATATACAATTTGTTTAGATTGTTTTGAAAGAAAGAAAGAAAAAAATTAAGGGATTCAAAAAATAACAGTTGATTTGAAACCTCATTATCTTAAACTCTAGGGGGCTGATAAAAAAATTGAGATAATAGAGGATTCAGAGGGTATGAAGGGTAAAATAATTGAAGAATAAGTAGTTAAGACTTTCAGATTACTTATCCATGGTATTAAAGATATCCTTGGCATATAATATATTAGTGTTCAGCTGTCATGTATATAAAATTCTTGCATTGAAGAAGAATATGAGATATGTTTTCTCTGTGAATTTTTCTTTATTTTTCCCTCCTTCTAAGTATGTTTAAAAGTTCACTACACTCTATTTGACAGATTGTCACTGCCTACAAACCCAAAGACTCTGACCGGTCTCTAGCTTTGGCTCCACTAGCCCTGGAGAAAAACAGAAACGCCAACTTCATTCCTCTCTACCCTAAACGGGTCAAGCTACCCTTTCTACCCGGTGTGGAGGGATCAGACTACATTAACGCAACATATTTACAGGTGAGTTGTTAGTGAATGGATGTAAATGATTGCATTAACAATTACGTGTAGCTCAGGCATTGCTGAACTTTCAAAATGAAATGTAAGTTCAAAAATTACAAAATACATTTTTTTTTTCATTGAGGCTGAAGGGTGCTACCTTAGTTTGTACTTAACATATTATGAATCACTAAATGTCTTGATTTGCCATAAACACACACACACACACATACACAATAAGTTCAAAATTAAAAAAAATACCTACATGTAAACCTGTCTTTTTCTGTGTGTTTACAGGGTTATAACCACACAGATGAGTTTATTTTGACCCAGCACCCCCTGGAGTCTACAGTGGAGGATTTCTGGAGGATGGTGTGGGACAACAATAGTTCTGTTATAGTCCTCCTCTCCAGGGTCGACGAAGAGGTAAAGAAAGGAGAGTCACTAGCCTAATGTAATATACAGTAAATATGGGGGGAAAGTATCATGATCATAAAAGGGAAAATGTCAAACAATGGAGACTGGCTCACTACTGGACAAAGAGATTCTTAAGAGAAAAACATGAGGAAATTTATCATATGGGCTGAGTAATAGGATTTATAGAGATTCATAGAATTAACAGCAAAGGAAAATTCAAGGAAAAATTGAATCAACATTGGAAAGGGGATATATTAAAAGATAGAGGATTCTCATAGGGAAAAAATCATGAAAAAGGAAAGATCTCTTGGAAGTGATGATACAAAATCTTTAAATATATCAGAATTTTAACTATCACTATTAAGGTAATCTACAAGTGTTCAGATGATACTAAAACTTTGTTCTGCTTTTAGGAGTTCAAGAAGTTTTGGCCGGATGAGACAGACACGGTAGGGATGGATACAGCCAACTTTAAACTGGTTTACCAGGAATCAGAGGAAGGCAGTAATTACACTGTCCTCACCTTCCTACTGGAGTCTACACAGGTAGGTCAAGGTCAATTTAACTTCAAGGTAACATTTCATTGATAACCTACAGTAATCAATTTGTAAACATTGTCACTATTTGTACATGCATACAAGTCAGTAACTTCTTAGAGAGAAGTAATTGTTTAAAATAGGTAGCATAATTATGAATAGTTGGATTATTAAAGGTTATTTTCACCATTTACTTATGTTTAACAGAGCTGTTGCTGGGTATGAATCAAGAGTTCATGAGATGAAATTCCAATGCACTTTTTCTTTTTATATTGGTCTTTGCTGTGCAGTATGCAGTGATTTGTGTATATATTGCATTTATTGGTGTTGGATGATGCAAAAGATTTTATAACTTGAAATTTCAACCAAAATGAAAACAAAATGTTTCCATTTTTCTTGTGATGAAAGGGAAAATACTGCATGCCACATAAGTTTCATTATACAAAAAAAGAAGCAGTGTCAACAAGATTCTCATTAAGAACCAAGGCAAATGGGATAAAATAAGAGGCGAGCATATATAGATTTTCACCCATAAAGTACCTATATATGTATATAATTATCAAATGTGGAATAATAGTGGATTAGATGACTACATGTTGTGTATCATATCTCTCAGTCAAAACTTAATATTTGGAAATATCAGCCCAGTATATTTAGTAACTTGTATACAGGTCATTAGGATAAATTCACAGATCTATGAAACTTAATAAAGTAGGACAGGAAGTCACATTGATTCAGTTAAAGATTTTTGCAACTTTCCTTAGTTAGAGAGTGAATTTAAAAAAAAAAGATTGTCTTTTTCAAATGTTCGTATTAAGTGATTTACAAATTGTATTTCAAAACTTATTGCTAGATTTAAAAGTGGAAAATCCACCCATTTTTTCTGCCACTGCAGATTTATTTCATGCACCTTTTAAAAAAAATACTTAATATTAATAGTAGATTAACTATTTCTTTATGCTTAATGGGAGATGGCTTTAATATGGCTGTAGTTTTTGTGTGTGATTGAAGTTAGGGCTCTCTTTATTTACATGTAAATGGATTATATATTTTTAGGTCACCTGAGTAAACTCAGGTGACCTATTGCTATCTGTTTTCGTCCGTCGTCGTGAGTTGTGCGTTAACATTTGAACATTTTCAGCTTCTTCTCTGCAACCACTGAACCAATTTCAACCAAATTTGGCCTAAAGCATCTATGGGTGAAGGGGAACAAAAATTGTGAATTTCATGATCCCTGCCCCCCTGGGGCCTGAGGGGTGGGGCCAAAACCACTAAAATTAATGCAATCTTTAAAAATCTTCTTCTTTACTCCTGGACATCAAGCAGTCAAACTGTTTGCATGATTGTAATCAGCAATGAGTCCTCTACCAAAAATATGAAATTCATGGCCCTGGGGTCAGGGGTTCTAGTGCTAGGGCAGGGCTAAATAAGTAGATAGTGAAAATGCATTATTTCTTTGAAAATCTTCTTCTCTACTCCTGGGTATTAAGTAAACCAACTAAGCACATAGTTATGATGAGCAAGAGTGCCACTACCAAAATTGTGAATTTTATGGCTCCAGGGTCAGGGGTTCTGGTGTTAGGGCGGGGCTCTATTGATTATATAGTGAAAATACATGAATTCTTTGAAAATCTTCTTCTCTGCTCCTGGGTATTAAGTAAACTAACTAAGTGCATAGTTATGATGAGCAAGAGTGCTTCTACCAAAATTGTGAATTTTATGGCCCCAGGGTCAGGGGTTCTGGTGTTAGGGCGGGGCTCTATTGATTATATAGTGAAAATACGTGAATTCTTCAAAAATTTTCTCCTCTGATCCTGGGTATTAAATAAACCAACTAAGTACATAGTTATGATGAACAACAATGCCTCTACCAAAATTGTGAATTTTATGGCCCCAGGGTCAGGGGTTCTAGTGTTAGGGCGGGGCTCTATAGATTATATAGTGAAAATACATGAATTCTCTGAAAATCTTCTTCTCTGCTCCTGGGTATTAAATAAACTAACTAAGTGCATAGTTATGATGAGCAAGAGTGCCACTACAAAAATTGTGAATTTGTTTGGCCCCAGGGTCAGGGGTTCTGGTGTTAGGGCGGGGCTCTATTGATTATATAGTGAAAATACATGAATTCTTTGAAAATCATCTTTTCTGCTCCTGGGTATTAAATAAACTAACTAAGTGCATAGTTATGATAAGCAAGAGTGCCTCTGCCAAAATAATGAATTTTATGGCCCCAGGGTCAGGGGTTCTGGTGTTAGGGTGGGACGTATTGATTATATAGTGAAAATACATGAATTCTTTGAAAATCTTCTTCTCTGCTCCTAGGAATTAAATAAACTAACTAAGTACATAGTTATAATGAGCAATAATGCCTCTTCCAAAATTTTGAATTTTATAGCCCCAGGGCAGGGGTTCTGGTGTTAGAGCGGGGCTCTATTGATTATATAGTGAAAATACATTAAATCTTTGAAAATTTTCTTCTCTGCTCCAGGGTATTAAGCAGATGAACTACCTATATAGTTATGCTGGACAAGGGCCCATATCTTCCAGAATTGTGAATTTCAAGGCCCCAGGGCCAGGGGTACCATAGAAGGGGGGGGCTGTACTTATATACTGAAAATGAATGAATGGTTTGAAATCTGCTCCTTTGTATTAATCAAATATCAAGGCCTAAGGGTCAGGGGTTCATGTGTGGTAGGGGCACTACTGATTATTGCTGAATACCATATAATCCCTATTAACTGCCTCTATAAGCGTCCCCTTAAGTATTTTGTCTGGAAATAAGGGCCCCCTGTTCAGTGATTAAAATTATCTAGAAAGACTAGTATCGTATCAAAAGTTTGCAAAAATTTGAATGAATTGAAAATGAAACTTGTTTATTATCCAATTTCTTGATGGAAAATGATTCATTTAGCACACTCTGGGTGGATGGTCTTCTTTATTTTGGAGATTCTTTGAATTTATTTTCTTTTTCCAAAATATTTTTGAAGTTAAAATATGATATGAAATATTACTAAGAGAATGCCAAAATAACCGCCCCCTTTTCACAATTTTCTAAGCGCCCGGGGCGGTTACGGTAATAGGGATTATACGGTGTTACTGATTAGTTGAAATGCATTTTTTGTTCCCTTACCCTGCATATGGGTATTAAGAAAACAAACTAAGAAACTGCTAAGTGTATTGTTATGATGATCAATGGTGCCTCTTTCAAAATTGTGAATGCCATAGCATCTGGCTTAATTGTTAAAACATGAATCAAATTCAATCACTGGAAAGTTGTTGCATAATGCTCAGGTGACCTATAAGGCCCATGGGCCTCTTGTAAAAAATAGTTACTTATCTTTTTTTTTAATTGACCTTGACAGATTGGCACATCAATAGTCTTCCTGGTAAAAATGAAACATGTTCAAATGCTTGTAAGCATTCTTTGTCATTATGAAATGCCGACATGTACATGTTAGGGTATTCCAAAGTCTATACATAGATGAAGTAAATCCTATTGTTTTGACCTATCTAGGATGACTACGTGTTGATGACCCGCATCATCTACTGCCCTGATTGGCCCCCAGCTGACCTTCCAGAACACAAAGCATTTGACCTTGTGGAAAGGGTCAAAGAACTGCAGGCCCTTAAGGATGGAGGACCCATCATTGTCGTAGACAGGTGAGGAAGAATAAAGAAAGATGTATTTTCTCTGCTATTCCTCATTATGCTTATGTCAATGATTTAGTGAGTGCATTTGCTCTTGGATTCATTAAGTATTTTTACCAAGTAATGTTTTGACTTTGGTTGGGATTGTCAGGTTTGGTGGTGTAGAAGGAGCTCGATTCTGCATTCTGTCTTCTCTGTTGGACCAGCTGAATCATGACAAGACAATCGATGTGTACCATCTGTGTAAGCTGTACCACAAGAAGCGACCAGGCGTGATAGGGAGTCCGGAGGACTACCTCTACATCTTCCTGGCCATGAACAGCTACATTCAGGAACAGTACGATAAAGAGGTGGCCTCTCTCTCACATCACCTACATCTACGATCTTCCTCTGCCAAGAAAAATGGCACCTTGCCGCGTAGCCCCACTCTCCAGGCCAAAGTGGAGACTACAATCTGAGATCTGTGAAATAAATGTGTTAAAGCACAGTTGGGTGATTAAGAAACTGCACTTTTTAAAACAATCCTTGACCTTGCTGATATTATGTGTTGTAAGTTGAGTTAATAGCTCATATCCCAAACTTGTCAGAAAAAACAATTCATGAAATCTGCATTGTTATGATGCTTGTATAGAAACTACCATTTGTTTGTCTTTTCTAATATCCAAGTATAGGAAAACCATACACTCATCCATATTTGAATTATACAAGTGCCAATGTCATCTGTTGTGAGTTTCCTTTGTAAGTTTGTGTGTGGCGAGACATTAATTCAACACAGGAACCAATGGAAAACTCCAATAGATATTTTTTAAAAAGATTGTTTATAGATGAGTGTCGGTATTTAATGTGACTTCTACGAAATCTACGTTGTGATATATACAAACAATGGATCTAAGTTTTTTGAGGACATGGACCCTACTTTTGGCCAGGTGATGGCCAAATGCTGGATGGACTTAGATGTTTTATCTTTTTAAAAACAAAAGGTTGTGTGAATATTACCATTATCAGCTGTTGTAAATCATCTTACACAATGAAGACTTGATTGTTGTGATGTTTATTAATGGTTTTTTTTTTGTTTATATTTGTATACTTGGTGTTATGCTGCCATTTCAGTCAGAGAAATGACTTGTTTTACTTAATTCAAGAGGAAAGGTTTCAGACACAAGCAAGGTATTCCACATTGTAGTAGGACTTTAGGGAGGGACCGTTTTGTAGAATACCCACCAGTGAAACATAATGTCCTAATGTATCTACTCATTTACCCTCAGGTAATCTCATTTTGGACTATAAAGTACAGTGTATATCCAGTCCACAAATTGAAGGGGTTTTGGGGGTTTTAAGCAAGGATTTTGCTTAAAAAATTGATAGAGGGCTGGGGTGTCTATTTTTATGTGAGAATCACAAATTATTGGTTAAGGACATTATCATGTATCATCTGCTAAACCTGTACTGACCAGAGTTTGTATACAGTATATTGCCTTCTGTATCCACCTGCTGAGCTTGTATACAGTATATTGCCTTGGGTATCCCTTTGTGCAGTAAAAAGAAATGGTGTTATCCTTGGAATTATTGCTTTGTGCCGCCATTGTGTTCTGAGATATGTTGTGTATAAATCCATGTAATGCTAAGCTCCTACATCTAGTCTGTGTATATGAAAGTCCAACCTGTTGAAAAATTTTCAATAATGGTACAATTCATTTGAATAAAAGAATTTTTATAGACTTTTATTATAACTATTCTACTACTCTTGGATAATCTTTCTTTGAATTTATATAAATTATTTAATTTGTTTTAAATCACAAATAGTGCTCAAATCGTTCATTTCTAGAATTTCTTCTTTCTTACACAAGAAAACAATGCAACACGACTATTTCCATTTGTTTTTATGAACTTGAGCTTAATTTTTTATTTTATTTCAATTCATGACTTGATTTGTTTATCAGCTGTTCAGAATTTCTGAAAGGTTGTGGCGTGCCAAAAATAGCTAGATCTCGTAGTAATGCTTTTTGTCTGTTTTATTTTATACCTATAGCGTAGAGACAGCTGTGTTGTAGATTATTTTATATAGCCAAACCTGAGCTGTATTTACACTATCTTTATAAATGTATTACATGTATAAATGTACCATCTTTACAAAAAATTCTAAAAAGTTTGCTTCAAGTTTTATTAGTTAAGGGGTTATACCAATAATAATGCTTGAACCATTCATTGAAATAAATGTACTTGATTGTATTAATGTGAGGTAAAAGTATGCACCAACATGATCAAAATGATTTTTTTTTAAGTTCCTTTAATTTTTTAATAGGTAGATACAGAATTTTTGTTAAAAAGATATAATGGATATTAAGATTTTGTTTTATAAACTAGTTTGTATTTACACAACAGGAGCAATTTAAAACATAATTTATATTACATTCTCGATATTGTGCAAAAAAGCATTTCTTGAAAAATGTAGAGTTTAATTATTCAATAATTTTCTATTTTTTCATTTTTTTGTCATATATTTACATAAACATGTATGTGCATAATGCATTACAACTGCATGATATTGTACAACTTAATCAATTTCCCATGAATTTGAACAGTAAACAATGTCTGCATACATGTATATATGTAGAAATTTATGAATTTACATGTACTGCAGATGAAATATAATCAAAAGATGTTAAGAATTATAAGTTCGTAACAACATTCTCAACTTTGCCATTTATCAATTGTAATTTAAAAAAAAAAAAAAAACAAAACATTTTGTATGCCATATGTTAGATATAAAGAATATTCATTTTGCGGGGGCAATGGCACTTAAAATTTTGATGTAGAAAAGCAAAAAAAGGGCAAAATTAGATCACAAATTCAATAAATGACATTCTAAATTGATCATGCAAGTTGCAATGTATATTGAATATTGATCTTCTTAGTTGTAAGAATTGTTTTGTTGCTGAGTATTGAATATAAAGCAGAGAAGGCTAGTCATTTGTTTAACTAGTAGGATTAATAGGTTCAGTTTTGTAGATATTCATATCGTATAGACTTAAGCAGACTGAGAGATCTATAGTATGTAACTTGTAATTCAGATCAGTGTAGATATGGGTTCCATTATATTGTTCTATATGTTCTTTGAACAATTTAAAATACTTTGCAAATTAGAACCAGCTTTAAGGAAAAAATAAAAAAAAAAATTCTTTACAATAAGTTTTTTTTTTTTGATATCTCAATAAAAGGGGAATAGGTGCAGAATCATCTATATACAAGTTTTTTGAAGGCATCAAAACACATTCATAAAGGTACAGACAATAAAAATGCATTGTGAATCATACAAGACTAAGTGTATAGTACCCATGTTGTATGAACCCTTTTTCTATGTCTATTATTAAATTATCATGTTTCTATGTTAACTTTATTATTAAGTTATTACTTGTATAAGTATATATTACATGCAGATACACTTATGTTCCTATTTTTATATATTTTTCATCCTAGTAATCAAATATTCATCACATTTCTGTAGCTAGATGAAAATTTTATTCTTGTGACAGATTTTTTTTTCAATGACAATAAAATCAGATTAAATGATTTCAATGCAAATAACCAGTTAAAGTATTTTTATCAAACCTAATGGTGGTTTATTTATACCTATTCATTTTCATTGCATACATAATACATAGAGTTTGATTCATTTAGAATGATATTTGAAATTACTCTATACATATGTATCCATTTTATGGTTGTAGCAAATTAAAATCATCATTATACTTTTAAATAGATTTTATTTGTGTAAATGATTTCTAATGGGAAACGTGTTTGCTGGTACTTTTAAACTGGTTCCCTGTGCTTTTAGCATTTTATTTTGAGCAGGTTGTCTAAGAAAGTAGGTTGTATTTAAATTAAGTTGTTGTCGTCCAGTTTTGCACAATGTTGTGCTTGTTGTTTTGCCGACCCGCTGTACTGACACTTTACCCTTGTGCGCAAGTTTTACTCATTTTAAAGGGTCTTCTTGTTTTCATTCACAATTCATACAATATGATTTTGTATTTTGTAATGCATAACCTTTTTTATAATAACGATTAAAAGAACCATAAAACAATTGATAATGTAGTGTTGTTTTCATTTCTTCCTTTAGGAAAGTTGACTGTTATTAAAGGTTAATGAAATAACTGTTATACATGTAAATATCAGCTATTCATCAATAAACTTATCAAGCTTGGATAATAAATAGTTTCAAAAAAAGAATATGAGAAAAATGTACCAATGGTGCTTGTTTATAAACAGACCTATTTTTATATGCATATGAAGCAGATTTTGTTCAAAAGCTTGTATACAAGAATAAGGAAGCACTCAACATGAAGATACTAGTATATATATTGATAATGTATAATCAATTAACATTAGTTATTTCCATTTTGACATATGATGACTTGATATATTCCAGTGAATTTGAAATAAAAAGAAACCACAGTCTGACACATCTATTTAGATAATTTACTGAACAAAGACAATGAGGGTCAACAAACAACTAAATTTTATGACAAATGAGATCGATGATTCCAATTTTTCCATCGTCAACTTTCCTTTTTTGCTGTATATATATCCAACTGTCATCTGTATATTGTGTTTACATCTCCCAACTTATTTGATACTCAATAGCATATTCCGAGTACGATCAAATTTTAAATCAAGCAGGCTACTGGCAGATAAGTTGATGTTACAGGGATTTTAAAAACCTCACTCAAAGTTGGCATTTCGTTATTTCTTTAGTCATTATAATGGCTTTGTGAGCAATAATAACCTATCATTGGGTCGTACATGTAGTTTTGGTACTTTGTTTCATATCCATTGTTAGGCCTTTCTTTTCAAACTGAATTTGGCCACGGAATTTACCGTCCACCTGATCAATACATCTCGTAGGGTTCTCGGCGGAAGTGACCGGTCAACAGGGGATACTGGAGTATTTACACCTCTTACGTACCCGATCTATTGCCAAAAAGAAACATTGTGAAATAAGAAGTCCCAGTTTGTTTGAACCGTGAAAGTGCATAGGAGATATTATGACCCACTGAATAAGTACATTATTCATTACTGAAACCACAGGCACCTGACGTTACCTATTTTTCTTTTAATTACAAAATATACCCCCTACCTAGTTTCAAATTCAAGGGGGTGGGGGTGCCGGACATCCCACCCCGACCCCTCTAGATCCGCCCATGTATTCCTTTGAAAAATTTATAAATTATGAATAACTTCACAAAAATAAATATTTATATTTTGCATAAGTTTCATTTCCATAGTCGTGTCTTGCAATTTATTACACGAAAAAAGAAGTACCATGAGTATATGCTGTAATAGATTTACTAATTAAGAAAACGGGAAGAAGAAATGTCATATTGTTTGATCCATCTTTACATTAAAAGATGACCATATTTAGCGCTTTATTTCACAGGTATTTGATAGCATAAACATATAAACATTTTTTTTTCTAATAACAACAACACAATCCATTTGTATTATAAAAGGCCTATTAAGGGAATATTTATTAACTGTAAAGCATGTTTCGAATGTCAATTACTTGTTCCATATTACTGAGTTATGCACACAATGCATCCTCTTCTTAAACATGCTGAAAAAATTGCAAAAAAGTGACGGGATTCTTTTTTATGACGCAAAAAAAAGTACGACCATCGCCCAACTGCATGAAGAACCACGTACATGTAGGAATTTTTTAACCCTCAAAACGCATCACATATGCATTCTTTTCTTAGTACGTGAACGGATATTATCAAGTACATGTGGGTAGCGAACATGTGTATAAAATAAGTCACAATATCGGACCACATCGAATTTGCTTAATAAGTTTCAAAACAGCTCAGAACCTCAAGGAGAAGTGAGTAAAACTGCTTATTAAGAATTGTTTGTTTTTATATAAACTTTTTAAAACAAGCATAAACTAGTTGTTTACTCCAATCTTCCGCCGCTTTAAGCCTTGGAAATGTCTCTACAAAACGTAAGTAAATTCTTTTTCTTATTTCAGTATTTTCAAGAAAATGGATAGATTTCACGTTTTGTGTTTGTTCATCCTTTCTACTGTTTCCATTTGCATCGTAAATGGCTGCATGTGCGACTTTTCCCGTCGTCCAGATAAAGTATGCATGGCGGATTTCGGTGAGTAAGAAAATATTTGTAAAAAAACAGCATTTTAAGCATGCATGATATTTTTTGATTCCTATGAAATCGAGTTTTATAAGCAGAGAACCCTATATAAATTATAGTGAATATACATGTATACTCATAAATTCATGACATCTTTGTTTATAACTTTGAATCACATTTTTAAAAAAGATTTATAGGTCGACAATATTGCAGATATTTTTTCTCCACAAATTTGCTGGATTAAATCTTCTCAGGTTTGTCTTGTCTTTCACAGTTCTAAAGGCCAAAATCCTCAGAGAGGATTTAGATTTTGGTGAATATGGCGATTTCCCAATTCAGAAAAACTACACGGTCCTGTACAAGAAAAGGGGTATTTTCAAGGTATAAAAATAAATAAGATTTATAAGATAATAATAACTACGAATTTATATAGAAAAATAATTATTTTCAAATTTTTAAACAAAGGTCTTGTCTGACAATATATGGATCAGTGCAATATAAAATTCTAGTTAATAAAAGAGTATTATAAATAGTCAGTTACACTATTCAGAAGGGATTGAAAATGTCTGTACATGCACATGTATTTCTCTCTTCTCCAATAAAGGGAAGCCGTCTCCTTGGTTCTGGTAACACTGCGGTGATCCAAACCTCTGGGACGCCTTGGAACTGCGGAACAACATTTGAATTGAACAAAAAATACTTAATTTCAGGTAAAAATAATCAACACCGATGCTTACTTGGATCAAATCATATGATAAAAATAAAGTTGCTTTTAAATAAATATCAGAGTTGAAATTATTATTTTTAATTTTTAAGGTTTTGAGAGCGATGGATCATTCTTCACAAACATTTGCCAGTGGAACCCCGAATACAACACTGTATTATCTACAAGAAGACGGGAAATTAGAAAGACGTGTCGTGACCAAAGTGGACTGCGTGAAAATGATATCTAAAGTGAAATAATAAGTTAATAATTGTTTATCTCTTACATTGTGTATTGTGTATTTACTGTTCGTATATGGAACACTAAAACAAAAACTATCAGTACATGTGGAACTATCTTTAAATATGATGGAATGTCTACTTGTTCCAAAATATGCTTGCCACAATTATATCATTTTCTTTCAAAATGCTTTCATTTTCCGCAAAAGCATTTTTAAGAGGCGATATTACTGACATTTTGATTGAGTTAAACTGATGTCAAATTAGCAGACGATGAAGCTTCCAACAATTGTAACACAAGTCTAATTTTTATCGTTTTGCTATTTCCTGGTGTGGAATCTTCTGTTCTCGAAGACCACTGTTTTGATATTATGAGATTTTTATACACTTCAGATATATTTTAAACTTTTTGACATTAATTTAACTGGATAATTATTGCTTTACAAATAAATATGTAGTATAAATTATATGTAGTATAAATTATATATTTTAGTTTAAGAAACAAAAACAAAAGATTCTGAGAAGTGTTACCTATTTCTATGATGTATTGGGAATGTAATAAATGCTAATTCTGTTTATAAATAATAAACATGTATATTGACACTACCTGTGAACCGAAGTCAGACCGGTCGGCGGTTTCACAAGTTCAATTGCTTTTCCTATAAATACATCAATACCACTTGCATTTATAAGTATTCTAACGTACAATGTTTTACTGCAAAATATCGAATGAAATCCGGAGAAAGGGCCTACATTACACTGTATTCTTAATCAATCTCCCCACTTTTATTATCTGTATCAAAAATACTTCAAATTTACCCCTCGTCCGGTAAATATTAGTGCAGGGGCAGAAAACATGACTTACAGCTTATACACCCGTGCTTGTATAAAATCTTTTTTGTAGTGAAATAAATGAATGTACATTCTTTGAGGCCTTCGATCGCTTTATACACTGTTATATATTTAGTTGACTTTCTGTGCTGGGTCGAAAAAGATCAATCTCATTAATTCAATGAATCATACGAAATGCAAACATTGCAAATCACAAACCTCCGGTGAACCAGGAGCCTCCAACGAGTAAGAATCCCCTGTCAAACAGTCATATTCAAGGTGACCTCTCGATCTCTATAATATTGATCAGATTGTTCAGATAGTGAAAGGTATGAAAACAGTGCCCTATATATTTACGGCAATAAGGTAGATCATGAAAAACGACCGAAGTGTATGACCAAGCTGTCTGTAATTTGAGTTATTTGTCAGTATAGCATATCTCAGCCTACGGTTTAAAACTGGTCATACTAGGAACTTAAGTGACCGTGCTTACAGAATCATAGCAAGAGTTTTCAGCATTCTTGTTTTGAAGAATCTTGAAAATAAATCATATCTAAGATATTCTAAAATAAGTTTGAGACAGAGGTAGCCTACAGAAGCACAACCAGAATAAACTCTCAAGGCTAACAAGTTTTCCTCCAAATGAGTTAAACTCTAGAGCGCTTTACTTGGGAACTGCTACGCTTTTGTTGGAAGACATAAAAAATATATATATCTCTAACGCCAATTAACATAGATAATTCACTTAAGACTTTCGATCAGCATCATTTTAATATCAATATATTACTATAAATTAATAATTTCAAAAAAAAAAAAAAATAAAAAAAATCCATAAATGTCTTGACTAGCAATATACTTCAGTAGTTTATAAATAGGAAAACTAAAACAAAATCATACGTTTTCTGATTAGGTTTATTTATAAATGTGATTTTAATGATGTTTTAATCTGTGAGAATCCACAATTTTATTAACACGGTCCATTATAACACTAGACTAAGAACATGGAGAAAGTTAAAGATTGTTTTTAACCATGTTAACTGAAGGCCTTTTTTGAACATTATCGTTCACAGTACGGAATCAAATCCGATTTTGGTTCGACGTTTCTTTATCACCAAGCGTCTTTTTAACATTGATGTAGAAGCGTCAGGCATGGCGGTGGAAATCGAGTCTGCAGAGTAAGCTTACTTTTTCTTTCTATTTTCGCATAAATATTAGCAATTATACCTCTGGAAAAAGTGATATACGTTTTCTTGAATTTGAAAAAAACTGAATTTTTAATGCTTCTGATTTCACATGAGATGTAAGAAGTGCACAATAGGAAGGACAATATTGACATGCCATGTTATTGTTAGTCAACCACAGGCACTTGTTTCTTATAGCTACAATAATTTAGCCCTCACCGATATTTTTAATGTGATATTTTCTGGAGAGGGCTTTAAAAACATAGCATCTCCTAGCTGCAGAACTTTAGCATTATGGTTTTATATATTTGTGACGCGCCAAGCAAAAACCTCCCTTATGTCTATTATGACGTAACGTCTAAAGACGCGTCTAAAGTCAACAAGGTAAATGAGACGTAAAAACGCTCCCTTCGGAGAAACTCTCCCCAGCAGAACAAGGGATGTTGTTTTAATTATATGGCATAAGAAAGATGTTTGGGTGTGGTTTGAATGTAGTTTATTCTGTACGAAGTTAGTCTCCGTCAAGTGTCTGTGTGACCTATATCCTTTTCAAAATTATTATTAATAAGTGTATACATATTTTCTAAAGATGTCCAGTGGTGGTTAAAAAATTCCCGTAAGACCGTTTTTAAAATGAAGTTTGTTTGCCCTCTTTCTGTTCAGTATAAAAATAAATTGCTTCGGTAGTTACATGGAATATTTTGAAGGCATTTGAAATTAAAAAAAAAAAAGTTGTTGATTGGATGAGAAAATTCCGGAATGAATAATTTTTAAAAAGATTAGTCGGTTCACCTTAAAAGGTCTTATAAACAAGTTTTTAAAGATTTTTTTTTAATTCAAGCTGCTAATTTCCAGCTGTTTTATCGTGATGCACGTGCAAGAAAAATTAAACAGGAGCATTAAACTAGAAAAGGTATCTTTTTTTAAAAAATTGCGATGCAGTGAAAATTGACCTGAGTTACCTCTCTTAGCTACCCAATTTATACGAAATAAACTGAGTTGGGCAGTTAACTCTGCGGTTTATATATATAAAAAAAAAATCGTAAGCAAACAAAGTAGATTTTAATTAAAAATCACTTCAACAGTTCAAATTGATGATTATAATATTTCAATATTGAAATGTAACGTCAGGTGGATCGATATTTTTTTATGCAAGTGATTGTGCAATAAGGAACACAATTTATATGTATACATGTAGTGAAGTTTAGTTATAAAATGTAATTCTCTATAGATACGACACAGAGTATTTGACTTGGCCACTTCTTCCAGAATTAGCTTTTAGCCGTTGATTTCAAATAAATATTATGAAGAAGGGGCTTTTGAGCTTCTCAATTAATTTTGCTATTTTTTACACCTTTTAATGTTGTGCGCAAAAATGTAGGAAAAATTCGCCCCCTCTCTTTCTCCTGTGTCTGCTCTATCTCTTTGGGGACTTTGTGCAAATTTTGTCGTGAATATATACAGTACGGATGCTCGCATACATTGTAAGTTACAGTCCCACTTTCTAAGATATTTTATGATTGAGAATAAAACAGATTGGACATATGTTTATCGACATTTTCCGGGGAAAAAATGAAACATGCCGTTATTTTGCTTCACTGTTATGTATTCATTATCCGTTTGCTGAGGTTACAGTGTATACACAATACATCGAATGTGAAACTGGCGAACATGATCCATCGATAAAATGTTATAAGTAATATAAATTGATACAAATTGTTTGAACACTTTTAAAACATTTCAATATATTATTATTTTGTGCAAAATTTTTCAAGCAAAGAAGAAAAAATAAGGTGAAAAGGTGATTTTTTATAAACGTTTAGAAAACAACAAACTGAAACGCAGTCTCCAGTACTTATTCAGCCTTTTGAACTGAGGATAGAATGAAAGTTTACATTAAACATTTTAGAGTTATAAATTTTCATTTTGGTGATTTTATTTTAACCTTCAATATTAAGGATTTATTTTACCTGTAATAATTATTTCCCCGACAAAGATTTGACTACCAACATTTTTTGATTTCACATCTACCTTGGAAAATAGTAATCTTTTTTCCTTCTGTTGAATTGTAACATAAAATGAATATCTTTATGCATTTCAAATTATTAAAGTTTGCTACGGATTACACGTAATTCAATAACAAATTAAAACAACTTCAATATTTTTCTTTTTCTGCGAAAGTCGCATTGTACATTCCTACATGTACATACATGCACAGCTATGGGGAGTTTTGTGCAAAATTAGCAAAACTAGTACGGTAAAAATCTGCTCAAAATATGAAAAAAAATCAATGATCGAAACGCTCTATGTTTAAGGAATCACTGTCTAGTTAGTATAATATGCCAGGGCATCAACAATAGTGGGAAACATGGGATAATTTGCATAACGGGCATACTATACTAACTAGACAATGATTCCTTATATTTCCATTTCATTGTGAAATAAAATTACAGATGTAGACTTTAAAAATGCAGACATAGATTTATATTACACGAGGATTCCCATCCCAATTTCAATAGTCATCGCCCACTGATGTCAAACACAACAGTAGTCGCACGAAATTTCCATGCATGTTTGGCCTCTTAGCATCAGACTGAGAGACAGATGCACACAAGATTTGCATGTATATTAGGCCTCCTTAGCTCCTGACCTATTGACCTGCCTAATTTACATTCCGGTAGAATTATTAAGAAATTAACTCTGCTAACTTTCAAAGAGTTATCACAGAGAGAAAAATTAGAAATGGAAATATTTAAGAAAAAGGACTTATCGAACATAAAAAATACATGTTGGTCGACTTGAATATTGCGTGCTTGTTCAACTAATCCATATATATAGCTTTCTTGTTATCCCAAAAAAAATCCTGTTAGTATAAATTACATCAATTAATTAGAAACCCCCCCCCCCCCCCCCCCCCCCCCCCCGTTTACTATAAGGGTAGAATATTAAGAATGTGTTACCCGTTCTCTTACTTTTTGTTTCAATTTTTAACATGAATGTTTTAAACTATAATA